ATTTAACTGGTTGCAAAAAATTAATATGATCGATTACATTTTTCTTCACAGCATCTGTAATTTTGCGATATACTTTAAAATTTAGTTTAAAGTACATCATAATGACCATTATTGCAAGTCATCATTGTTGGTGGTGTCAGTGAAAAATCACTGCTAATAATCTTAGCAAGTGCTAAAATTTCCTATAAGTCAGCTTCAAATGGTAATGGTGACTCTGTAATGAAAAAACTGACAGAAGATACCAAAAATTGCTTTAAAGCCCACGAAAACTGCCGCATTTTCAGATACGGTACAAAATTGAGCGTCGTAAATTATCTTAAGTTATAAATACGATAGTAAACATTTTTATTTGAGTAAGTAAATAGTCGTATGTGTTAGATACGGCTAAAAGCTTTCTTTAATAAATGACGTAAAAATCGTTTGTACGGCATAATTTAAAAAAACTAAAACGACGTACATAGTCGTATGTATTACTAACCATTGTTTTAGGTGATTTGATTGATATCTTCATTAAAGATTAATAAATAAGTATATAAAAACTTACAAATATATAATAAAGCATATAACAACTTACCTAATAACACTAGTTTACATGAGTTTTGTTCATGAAATGGAATATATACGGTTACGTTACTTTTGATATCTACATCTCGGAAAAAATATTTATAAAAATCCAGGACGTCAGTTTTTTGAAATATTTAATAAGGAGATTTTTACAAAAAACGACATCTAAATAAGCAATAGACAGTAATGAGTAGTTTTTGCCCTTTTTTATAAATATTTTCAACTGTATCTCTCACAACAGATCAACAATAGTCACCTAGCATATTTTGGTCCCCAAAACCTTGATAATTTTGCGCATATGATTTTAAATCTTGGTGAAATTGCTCACCGTGTTCATCACTCACAATACCAAGATTTTTTAGAAAAAAAATCTAAATGGGAATGCAAAAAATGGATTTTTAGTGACATATTCACACCCATATTCATGCTCATAATTTTGCAATAGATTTTCAACAATCTCTTTGTAATTATCACTTTTTTTGTTGCCTAAAAAATGTTTAACGACACTTGTGAAAGAGTTCCAGGCTGTTTTTCTACCTCGGTTAAAAGGCTCTCGAATTTTGTATTATCCAATATTCACCTGATTTATTATACCCATAAATATTCCTTCCTTTAGTTTAGACGCAAAAAGATTCGGCAACAGATAGCAGAGAGAGCATCTTACCTGGAACATATTGATTTCGTACAGGCCAAATGTTTCTTTTATAATGATCCTGTTTTGCTCTAGAGTCCCACAGGCATAAATAACAACAGTACTTAGTGTCACTTCTGCGAGGTGGGGTGGAAACTGGTTAATCCTCTGAATGAAGGGCCGGCTTAATCACTGCATTAGTTTAAATCTAATTAATTAATGTAAATAACATGAGGAACCCAATTTTTATCTTGATTTTGACACCGGAAAATCCAAAATAATGTAAATAGGCTTCTTGCAGTGGTTTTGTTATAGGGAAACCACAATTTAACTGAACAACTTGCCCACAAACATAACAAAACCGATTTGGATGTAGTTTACACACTCTAGATGACATTTTTATATAAAAATAAGAATTTTGAATCACTCAGTTGTTTGCAAAATAGAACGATAAACGTATTTAAACAATTACGGCAGATACAAAATAAAGACCTCTATATCTCAAAATTGTGACGTGCTACAGAAAATAAAAAAATATTTTTTTACCACCATCCATAGCCTACATCATTCCTAATGAAAACAATCAAAAATTACACAACAGCTCATACACACAAATTAATATGCAATATGCGCACGCTCAACGTACCAACCGGTAAGTGACACATACGATACACGGTGCGACGCCGCGCACGCACACTCCTTCCACGTATAATGTTGCCAGAGTATCATACCATTCATTACGCCGCATACAAAAACAACATACGATAGAAAAACGAAAGTCTAAAATCATTATTTTATGACTATTGACTTTCAAATTTACACAGTTAATAGTAGTCATAGAGGTCAATTAGAAAACGTTAAAAAGTAAAAACAGTAAAATTGTGGGATACCATTATTTACGTAGCAGCCATCGATATATAGTCATAACTGTCAAACCACTAACTTTCGTACTGATGATATTCATATCGTCTGGGAAAGATGGAGTGGGGAGAGTTGAAATGGGAACACGATTATCAATTAGGAGTGCAGAACCTCCATATCCATCAGGCCTGTCACACCTGAGGATGTTGTAATGGGGAATATAAAAGTTGAGACTAGGCAGGAGCCAGGTCTCTACAATAGAACAAACTAAGGATTTGTATTTATTTTGTAGAAATATGAGGTCGTGCTTTTTATAAAACACGCTCCTCACATTCCACTGTAGGAACACTTGGTTGGAAGCCATATTTATAAGAGGTAAGAATTTGTAACAGGTTATTTGCAACGTTGGACGGTGTTTGAGTAGAAGATAGCGAGGTAGATAGAGGAATATTTGAGGTGATTAGTGAAGTCAGTAACTGAATTAAGGACTGTTAAGGGCACAACCATTGGATTGTGAAGGTTGAGGAGTATTAATAAGACCCTGATGAGCGGCTTTATTATAGGATGGGGGTAGAGGGGTACGTGATTTGGGTTGACGGAAAGTGGTTTTACGGTTGGACTGTCAAAGAGTTTGCTGGGTCTGTGGAGTTTTAAGTGTGTCGGCATAGCTACGAGTACATACAGGAATGCTTTTACTGGCTTCTATGTAGAAAATGTTCTTTTCTGCAATGGATGTCTTTATAGCCCTCTGCCTGCCATACTCCGGACAAGCCCTGCTACTAGCAAAGTGAGCTCCAGAGCATAATACACAAAAGGCCTCGCTCTCTTGTACTTCACAGCTGTTACCAGGGTGATCATATCCACATTTACTACATCGAGGTTTGGATCTGCAGATAAATTCTACATGCCCAAACCTGCAACACTTTTTGCATTGTATGGAGGGATAAATATATAGTTGCAGAGGAAGGGAGGTGTAGCAGCAAAAAACTTTCTTTGGCAGGACCTGACCATCAAATGTAAGAACGCAGGTTTCAACAATACCATCTCTAAAAGTTTTCCTATTAAGTCTTCTAACTTTAAGGATCTTACCACATCCCGGTGGCACTGTTACATACTTACAAATATCATCTTCTGTCATGTCTGTCGGGATGCCAGATACAACACCCATTCTTGTTATGTTAAATGATGGGATAGACGCTTCAAATTTATGATTGACAAGGAGCGCATTAAGTAAAAATGAATTTGCATCGTGAGGCGTTGCAAATTCCACGGAAACACGATTTCTACCTACTTTTTTGACACCACCTTTCACCACGTTGGATATATTATTTTTATAAAGGAAAAGACCAAAGGACACCGGATGAAGAGTTGTGCCAGCGTTTGGTTGGGATTCAATTCGCGATACGTGAACAATGAAAGGACCATTGTTATTTACGTTATATTTCGCACGGCTGACTTGGCTTTTTAGCTGTTTTAGGGTTATTTCGTCATCAACCAAACGTTTACGTGAACCAGAAGCGCGGGGAAGGACATTTTCGGGTTGTGAAATATTAGAGATGATGTTGGCAAAAGTTGAAAGAGGGTTCGGGTACCCCACCGGGTTAAACAAGAGAATAGGAAGTCGGAGAAAAAGTGGGAGTACGTGGGCTAGTTTTATCAGGAAGATTGGGAGGTTTGTCTTTGTCCATTGTTAGCCCTTGAGAGACAGTTAATCAAAACACAAACACACACAATAATCAGACTTCACACTTGAAAATTTTGTCGTTGATGTTTTTTTTCGCACAGACCACTTTTATTTTAGTTTGAATATAGGTTTTGATATCAATAAATTTGTAATTAACGTCTTCTACGTAATTTTTTTCTCAACGTCAATGTAAATTTCATAAATATTTTTAATATGTTTTCGGAGAGAAAAATTTTGACAGCTTTTCTAGATGCTTCCAACGGAAAATTCCCTCTGCTTCCGTGTTTTACGTTTATTGGAAATCAAAACTTATCAATTTTAATGTTTCTTTAGATAGGCAATAGACCTGCTTATCACCGTTATTGACGTAGGAGATTTCTCTTTGTGTAAGTATTTAGAAAGGCTTTTTACAGAACCTTTTTCGGTTTCCAAATATATATATATATATTTTTTGTAATATTGTTAGCGATTTACATTGCTGTAGTTATGTTATATGTTACCCTAAACATTTATAACCAGTTTTAATGAATGAAATTAACTAATAAATATTAATTATCATTTTTTTTAAATATTGTTAACAATTTACATTGCTGTGTGTTGTATGTTACCCTAAACATTTAAAAACCAGTTTTAATGAATGACATCAACGAGACGATCTCTGAGTTGTTAAATGTCATGCAACAATTTGAATTTAACCAACTAGTTTTGGTCATAACAAATGTTTATTTTATGCAAATATGATACGCCGTCGATATAATTTTATTTACATTATAACTTTTTGGCTAATAATAAAGTTATATGTTTAATGTCATCATAGATTTACCTACATTATAATGTTGTTGTGGTTTAAACTCGAGGAAACTCATTCTTCTACATACTATGAATGTAAATTTTTAAGATTTTACTTAGAAAATATATTCGTCAATAATCTTGATTCCGATTACTTCTCAAAAGGGGAATTAGCAAAGACAGAATTAATAGTAACAAGTGTACTCGTATGCTGCTATTGAACGAAAAGAAGGTTCCTTATAAACACAAACATCCGTCTTGTAGCGCCTTCATTCGATCGCTGCCTGACTTCGAAATTGATATTCTTCTTCTTGATACTCTCATATCTAGTCAGTAAAAAAAGTGTAGCACATAACACGATTCGGTTACAACTCCGTGGCGAGGAAGTTTATGTAAAACATTTTTTTTAAAGCCAACACTGTGAATTTACTTTTAAAGAAACTAACTATGTTATGCATTCAAAATACTTACAGTGAGATATCCTACAACCGAAAAACTGGCTTGTAGTTCTAATTGCGACACTGGATTTGTTCCTCTCAGCACGATTGTCCCGTAAATTCTAGACCCATCACGGGTAAATATATCAGGACACGTCTCAGTCTGAACACTTTGATTATACACTAAACCTTTATTTAAAACTAACACTAAAATAAGGGAACACAATAGGTTAAACTTTGCCATTTGGATTGTTTAGGTCCAAATACTTGGCATTTTTTTTCTCAAATTTCCGCGAGACAACTTCCTTCTGTGGACATTAAAGCAACTCTGTGTTCACTATATTACAAGCCTCATTAGCGATACAAAACACGATTTTTTTGCAAAGGTCTATCGCGTTTAGTCAAGATGATCGTCTTGTGATTTGTGAACCGGTTGTCTAATTATTAGGACACAGTTCAAAATGCGTAAGAAACTAGTAAGTATACTATGGTAAGCAGGAACTAAAAAGTTTTCCGCTAAAATGCATTATCCAATGAAAAAAACATCGTTCTGTCAAATCTACTTACAAAGGATACTACTTATAATTTTATTGGATATATTCCTGTCAGCCTTTAATAATTTACCCGTTCAATTTACAGGCCCTTCACTGTGAGAACATATCCTTTGACTAAAAAATTAAGATCAAACATCTAATTTATATTTAATTATTTTTAATTTATAGACTAAAGTTTTAGGAAGTGTCGAGAATTTACTGTTATTTCCTCTTATTATTAGCATTATCTCAATCGTGTAATGAAAATCATGAAAAATGGGCTACAATATTTTAAATTGTTACACAGATGAGTGCGAAAAATCTACTTTTATACATATTTGTCTGTCTGTGTATAAGCATATACACGACGCCGTCCTTAAACTTTTTGAGACTACTTATAAAAAATGTGATAACTTTATTAAAAACATTTTGAACAGAGAAACCTTGCTGAACAACTTATATTTTTAAACAGGAAAACAAAACATCGTCAGTGCAGTAGTAGGTATTAGGTATCGTATAGTTTTATGGTCATCAATCTTTTTTTTTGTTACTTATTCATGTGAATTAGTGTGATTGTTATTAAGTGTAAGTAAATACACGAACACATAATCTTCCGATCTGACAAAAAGATAACTCCTGTACTAGGAATATATCCTGTGTCGCGGGGGACAGACTTAGATTCAGATTAACAATTTGTGGATCATACAAAGTATTGTCCCATGTGGGGATCAAACCCATAACACTGAGCATAGTAGAAAGCGGCGAGATGACCGCTTAAACCCCTACGCCATCTGTGCAGGCAATTCAAAAAAGTCTTATTTAAAATGTACTTACGTGTTTAATATTCCGTCTGGTGACTAAGATTGGTGGATTAAGAAAGACCCGACTCAGGGAGCAAACTACGCAGGACAGCAGCACTGCAAAAAGAAGGAAAACTTGACACAGTAGTGCACTATTACAGGCTGTTGATGTGATGATGGTGTATATTAAACAACTTATTATGGCCCCACTCACGCACTTTGCTTAAAGCACGTTTAGAATACAAAACTCGGGTGGTAGATGAGAAGGGGAGGTAATGGAAGAAAAGAGAAAGGTATATTGCTGGGATTGTGATGCGTAATAGCACTAGCCAATGAGAAGCGTATCAGGTGTTTATATATGGTATGAACTTAGTGAATTATTCATAAGGACCGTAAAAAGATATCCAATATGAATTGTCACTATTATTAAACGGTTGTATATTTTTTATTTGAACCAAACAATAAAGATGTGTAAACAAATTTAAACATTTTAACGGTGACGTTAGGGCCGAAGTAAACGTAAATGGATAAGTGGAGACTGATAATTTTTCACCATCTATTGAAACCTAACAGTTTCTTTGACGTGTCAACTGCTGACTAAAACCGCGCTGAGTGGGAGACTGTTTAAAGTACCAAACACACACCATTATATACCAATGCGTATAGTAGTAACAGTAGTAATATTTTTTATTGGCCTTATTTTTAGTAAAATGTTAAATTACTAAAATGATAGGTGAAAGTAAATAAAAACATCATTTCAATCATTCCTCTGAAAATTTTCAAAGATAAGTTACAGACTAGCCACATACTACCTATTTTACCTACTTACACCAAAGTTATAAATCAGTAATAAAAAAGTAATTAGTTTAGAAATAATAAGAATCTAAAAGAATTAATGAATTACGTTTTTCTAGGCGTCTTCTATAAAGCTCTTAAATATGATTAAGTGCACATTGTATCCTTTTAATATACTACTCGTATTGATCAAAATGCATATTAGGTGAGGTTGTTTCTTCCTTTTTTTTCCCCCTAACTACTCAACCGATCAGCAAGGCAATACCTAGGCAAGGCATACCTTTCATCCAGAAATACTTACTGTGCTCGAGGGACAAAAAAATAGGTATAAATAGAACTTTTAGTTGGTCGACTGGCTTGACAAAATCTGCATAAAACCTGGGGCAAACCCACGGGCAAACGTCAGTACTTACACTTACTACAATATTGCTGACTTGCAATAATAGCAAACTGATGTAAATTTAACATTGCAGATCAGCAATAAATATGCTATAAATACGAATCAATTTCTTAAATTAGTCAGTTATTATTCTCTAGTGTTGATATAATTGTGGACTCTAACCACTCCCCAACCTTGGTTGGTTTTCAGCAAAGAACTGTAGAGCAATATTATATTCTGGGTTTATTCTGCCCTTCGTTGGGGCCAATTAAACACGTATAATCCGTGCTCAGTGGTGTTGTATTATATTTTTGTCTGTTTTAAGTTACCAAAAGTTGTATAGAGATATTATATAAAATAAATAATTGTGGTAGTCAGTGGTTTTTTTATAAGTGCCAGACTGTCCAATCTAACAGTTCGAGTAAAATATGTAAACAAAACTGGATCTCTATAAAACAGGTATTTGGCAAGCCAGACACAATAATCTAAAAATAATTTGCATTTTTATTCTTTTTTTATTCCAAATATGTATAAAAGTAATGTCGTTGGTTAGACTCTAATTTGTTGTGAACAAAACCTTTGCATTTTATGATTTTATTGATTGTATAGCTTGTATTTTTTATGATGTATATATATGTATAATCTAAAATATAAACGAAAAGACGGGTCACCTGATGAAAAGTGACTACCGCCCCCCATGAACGCCTAAAACTCAGGAATCACAGCGGCACTATTATTAAGGGGTTGGGGATTTTCTTCCGCTCGATACCACGATTGCTTCCATGGTACGGAGCGAGAGCGCGTGGAATTCCGTCACCTCCTCACGAGCGGGTCATGCTCGTGAAGGTGAGGGCGGAGTGGAACCAGGAGAGGTTTAAAACACTCCCGGTTCGCCAGGCCCGGCCACGGACCAGGTACCGCAGGCGGCTCAGATGCCGGAGGTCGCTTAACGACAAGCAACCACAAGGCGCTAAGAGCGTCACCTTTTTGTAAAATTAGTTTATTGATTCAATTTATTAGCAGAAATAGATAATGATTCTGTCTCAGACTCATCGCTACGCATAAATCTCCTTCAGTAAACAATTTGGACGCCTTTCATAATTCCCTAAATCAGACTCTTCAAACACTGACTGCTTTAAATTTAGCATACTTACTAACAGGTGACATAAACATAAATATCGGATCTAAGCATCACGATACAGAAATACATGATTACCTTAACCTGTGCTCATACCATGGGCTTCTCCCTGCGCACATATTGCCTACCCATCAGAGCGGTTCTTTTCTCGATCATGTGATGATCAAATCCAGCTTATCATCTATCACGCTAGTTATATAATAGTACGCGCCATGTAACTGCGTCAACGAAGTTTTACCGCGAAAAACGCAGCAAAATGATATTTTAGGTATCGGGGGGGGGTAATTTCTGCGCATCGGCACTTGGCCGCCAACGCGTTGCACCGCTGCAAGGTCAGTAGTGCATCTCGCTCTAACACATTATGTGACTTACCTGCTTTGCTCTACCAAACTGTTGATAAGAAATTATATAATTGATAAGAAAACTGTTAATATTGTTATTTGCTTTGTTTATGTTTGTAAGTTGATTTCCTACTTTTAAAGCTCCGATTTACTGAGAACTACTTCAGATTATTAAAGATATTATTTTAGTAATTTGCCACTTTAATAGACTAAGTTTTGAACATAATTCTAAAACTGTCTATTCTTTGATAACGTTTGATGCCCTAGTAGTCCGGAGTTGTTACCAAAAGCGTGATATGTACTTTACTATTTTGCCACTATAGTATTTAAAATTTTAATGTAATCGTTCGGAAATAGATACACATGTACATTATATATTAGTTACAATTCTGATTTAAATAAATTGAATTTGAATATTACTTGTTTGTAGCCCAATAATTCGCACAAAAATATATAAAATGTTTCTAGGCTCAGTACGTTTGTTTGCGAGTGTACCTGCGCAACATTCGGTTTGCAGCCAACTTCATTGACGCAGAGTTATGTGGCGCGTGCTATACTAACTCGACTCGACAAACTTACTGACCATCACGCCATCCTATATGCTGTAAACGTAATGCTACCTAGACAAAGTCGATCTACAACACAGACTAATTTAAATATAAACGAACGCCAATATGATTTATGTAATGTTGATTTTAACCTAGCTTACGATAGTGCTAACGCTAATGTATCTTTATCGTACTTAATATAAAATGTCCAACAAGCAATATTACAAAGACATCCACAATTGTCTTAAAAATGAAGTATCGCAATATTAAACCTTGGATCACCCCTGGTCTAGTTCGATGTATAAAACATAGAGACAAACTCCATCAGAGCGCTCGTCGATCTCCTGATAATTGGGGACTTCAAACAACATACAAAAGGTACAAAAACATCTGTAATAATCTTTTGAAAAAAAAAAAAAAAAATAACTACGTCAAATGTATATTGCATAAAGCAGGTAAAAGTTTTAGAAAAAATTGTAAACACTAGGTTAGTTAACTACCTATACATAATAAGTTTCTTTCGCTATCTCAATATGGTTTTAGATCGAAATTGTTCGCAGCTGACGCGGGGCAGGACTTACCTAATTTTATTACTAGTGAACTCAGCAAAGGTAATCAGACCTTAAGGATCTTTTTTGACCTTGCCAAAGCATTTGATGCCATCTCAATTTCTTCACTGCTGAACAAATTGGAGGCTCTTGGTATAAGAGATACGCAGACTATTTAAGCAATCGGCAACAATATTTTAAAATAGGAAATGCCATGAGCGATCATGAAAAATACCAGGTTTTGGCATTCCCCAAGGAAGTATCCTTGGTCCCACGCTTTTCCTGGTATATATTAACGATCTATGTAATCTTACATTAGAACTTGGAAAGGTAATATCATATGCTGACGACATGGCCCTAATTTTTAAGGCAAAAACTAGCAACGAATTATGTAAGAGCGCACAGTTTGGCTTTAATAATGTGCATACTTGGTTTAAGTATTCTTATATTCAGCAGATTGCTTGTATTGCTGTAAAACCATAGTTGAAAAACAAGGTTTCTCAAGTGCTGGCACAATAACTGATGAGCTCTAAAAAAATACACAGTGCAAAAATATACATTTATCAGGGATTACTGTACAAAGTTTATCATTATCGAAATATAAAATATTGTGACAAATGAAATTAATTTCAATCCACAATAAGGTGGGTGGACCATGGAACGCCACGCTCCTTTGAAGGCCAACTATTAAAAAGTCGTAGTTATTGACATGTAAAGACATATTCCTTCTACTACACACTACAATCCATCAAACTGAAGGCCACAGATGCGGCTGCGAGTCGCTCGCGCCGCTATTGTGGCAGTGCGATCTCACACTTCGTAGACTTCGGTCGTCGACGTTACAATAGTTATTCGCGCGCACAGCAAAACGTAAGTTTTTAGTTAAATAACCTATTGTTTCCTTATATTTTTTACTGTGAATTGTCGTGTAAGGATATTTTTATGGAACTCAAGAAAAAAAAAAGAAATTGCCTCGATTTAAGTGAAAATATTGGGAGTGTTCCTAGGAAAGCCGGTGGTTCCTTATAAGGCCAATCAAAAATTTGACGGTTGGCCTTGCTAGGGAACATGGGCCTTACATCTATAAACCATGAACATATGAACACTTATTATGTTGTTATAAATACGTACCGTTAAAGTTAAAACAATGTTTTATATTTATAATATTTTTTTAAGGGTTTTCTAACTTTTAAACTCAGATTGAATAGACATTTTTTTCAAAATTATTTTATTTTCAGTATATATTTAAATTTATTTTATGTCTATGAAGAGGTTATGTCTGGAAATAAACTAAACTAATTTACATGAAAAGCAACGAATATAAAAAATATTTGCTTGTTAAAAGCGGTAAAGTAAGTATGAGATAAGTTAAAAATTGTATATCTAAGATAGTCTGTCTAAAACTATAATTAAAGCAAAAAAAATATATATCAATAAGTTGGTAATTGAACAGATGATTAAAATTTATACGTATTATTTCAGATTTCGAGAATGTCACAGTCAAAACCTAGAAAAAGAGGTAGTAAATGGAACGAAGATAGTTTAAGACGAGCCATTCCATGGCTCGTCTTAAACTACACTGCAGTACAAAATAATGAACTAAATACAAATGCTGCAGCGTTGAAGTTTAATATTCCAAGACGCACCCTTAGAAACCATTTAGTAAGCGGTAACAGTACTAAAATTATTGGGAAGACAACTATTCTCACAAAACAATTAGAAGAAGATTTATCGCACCGAATCAAACGTTTTATTATTATTATTTTCGTTTTTTAATCTTAAGAACCGTTGATTTTAAATATTCCTGACTACAAGACTGACTATGTGCCATGATAAGTTTGTAATAATTACAGTACATCTGTAGTGTCTATTATTTTATTATAATTAATATAAAAAAGTCATAGATTGTTAGTTTGGCCTTCTTAGGAACATTGTGGCCTTACAAAGAACGGAGCCTTAAGAAGGCCATATAAGGTAAAAAAAAAGTTTTTAATTTGATTATAAAACGCGTTGACAAATTATTTTATATCAATATAATATTTATTACTACTAGTTTTAAATAATTTCCATTAATATATTATTAGTTATACGATGGTGTTCAAGTAATGTTCATTGTGTTTTTTATAGATAATAAAAATATATTGTGCATTTAATGTTTCGCTTAAATGAAAGAGCTTATTATGTAGTTTTAGTAAAAGCGGATATATTAATTGTTACAACTCTATTTTTAAGTTGAACGACTGAATTATAATATTGGCCTTGTTTGGAGCCCTGTTCCTTGCAAGGCCATTTGGAAGAGCTTAATAAAACTTAAGTTTAATAAATAGTTATTAAAGCTAGGTAAAAAAAAAGTGATTTGTATGGTACACAATAAACCAAAGTATTCCTTAACAATTTGTTTCCTTCATTTATCCAGTAAATATACGAATAAAAAGTGTTTATTCTTTAGAGTGGCCTTCCAGTTTCCACCCACCTTATTATTTATTTAATTTATTATGCACCTTTGGTAAAGCACTGGAAATATAGGGTTCAGCAACATGTTCCTCTGCCATGTGTGCTGACGTACTGGGGATTAAAAATATTTTAACACAATAATATTTCTATTTAAATTTGGTAAAAAAGTAAGAGGAAAAGTTAAATAAACATCAATGCCATGTTAGGTTAGATTATTACCTTACCTTTTGAGGTACTGCATAAGTAACAACAAGCCAGAATCCTCCTTTAGTTGTATATAAGTCATTAGCTTCAAATGTATACTGCAAGACACTATATTTGTTTGGAATCCAATCATTTGCACCATTACAATTTCTAATAATTTGAATCCAATCATTTCTCCATACTTCATTGAATAGATAATAAAATACCAAGAAGTAACTATTAAATAAATAACGTTGATAAATTTTGATATTAAAATAATAAACTAAAATATCCTATATTTCGAGTGATTTGCACACGTGAATATTGGCAACATTCTTTTGAATACAGATTTATTTTTATGTAGGTATAAAATCTGAAAAAAGTGTTGAATTGTTCATTTACCCATGAAACGTGATTCCTGGATTATTTTTCTTTCGGTCACAACGGTTTTTACACCATTGTACCACGCAAGACATTTTGTATTCTATATTTTTTGCAGCGTAATGCGTCACGTTCTCTTGATGTTTGCGTGCGTACTGGCCGACTAATGTGTGTAAGTGTGCGTGCCAGCGTGTACGTACAGCGAGTTGGCTGGCTCGGAGTGACACAGTATTTTGTTAGCTAGACTATGTCCAACTTTTTTATACATTCATGATTGTGATGTTATCGTTATGATGTACTGTTTAGTATGTGACAGTGTGTTTCATAAATAAATAATAATTTTACACTCGTACTTTCTTCAGTCAATAAAAAGAAAGTTTATTACTTTGTTAAATATATTATTGACAAAGGAACTACGTTATAGTTAAAAAGTGGTGAAGATGAGCTAGTACTACTCTTTCAACCATCATTGGTAATAACTAACTTAGATTAACTGGCAACCCTGCTCGACCGACATGTTGATTGTTTATTTGTCAATCAATTGTCAACTCAAAAGTTAAACATTTGGCGCGAGTTCACTTCTAAGTTTGTTCATTTTTCGTAAACACGGAAATTAACACGTAACAATAAATACCTATATTTAATGACGTGGAATAAAATAGTATGCAATTATCGAGAGCTACAATTAATTGGTACCTTGTCTGGCGGTCAGAGCTTTCGGTTAGTAATTTTTCACTTTCATGTGTTAATAAATCATCTTTTCTGGTTATCATAAATTTTATTTATTATCTTCAGTTGGACACACGACAAAGAAAACGACGAGTGGGTAGGTGTTTTTTCAAAAACATTATGGAAATTAAAAGAAAACGACGACTGTTTACAATTCCAAGTAATTGGTTCTCTACTTGACAATAAAACTAACACTATCTTGGCCAAAAAGGAGAATACTAAATCAGATTTAGATTTTAGAAAGTTATTAGAAAATTATTTTCGCCTGGACATGAACTTAGGAAATTACTATAAAGAATGGTCAAATAAAGATGAGCTATTTAGAAAAGCTTGTCAACAGTTCTATGGCATCAGAATGTTACGTCAGGAGCCTGTAGAGAATCTATTCTCGTTTATCTGCAGCCAAAATAATCACATATCGAGGTAACATTACATACAAGATATACTTAATATTTGTAAGTTATATTTCTGCGGATTAACTAAATCATTTTTAATAACCATAGGATATCCAGTATGGTGGAGAAATTATGTTCGACTTATGGAGAAAAAATATGTGAATATGAGGGCAATATTTACTATGCTTTTCCTGAAGTTGAAAAATTATCACAGCCAGAGGTAACATTCTGTATATCAGTTAAGGTCAATGTAGTGACATAATTAAACTGATCATATATTTATTTTGGAATTTTTATGTTGATAGTCCCTATTTACAGGGTTACGGGTTAAGTTGACCTAGATCCTTTCAGGGGTTGTAGTGGCCATTATTACTAATAGATTTCACTATGAAATACTAACCTAGACTATTATACCTTGTTAGATAGCTGACAATATGTGCATGTTTTTTAACATACCTGCAACTTAATTGTGATATGTTTTTTTTAATTTAAGTTTTTATTAAAGAAACATTATTTTAGTTCGATCCAGTTCGTTAATAGGCATAGGTATCTTGCAAATAACCTTGTGAGCATGTAAAGCACCTATTATTTTGACATTACAAATAGACACTTCAATTTTATTTATTTGTACAGATTAGCTAATAATATACTTAGTTTTCTGAAATAAGGAAGAATTAAATATTAAATCTTATCTTTGTGAAAATCATTGGGCATGATTTTTTTAAATATCACCTAGAATTATTTTTTTTCATATCAGTTTGAAACTTAAAATTATACCATGATATATCAATAAGCCACAACTCTTAAAATGTCACCATGTATTTAGTTTTCTGAAATAAGTAAGAATTAAATATTAAATCTTATCTTTGTGAAAATCGTTGTCCATGATTTTTTTAAATATCACCTAGAATTTTTTTTCTTTCATATCAGTTTGAAACTTAAAATTATACCATGATATATCAATGAGCCACAACTCTTAAAATGTCACCATGTATCTAGGGACTGTCAAAATATTGATTCTGCTCTAGAAAAGTAAAAGACATCAATATCAGAAAGTACTCTTTTCTGACCAAAATTTGATTTTAGGTAGAAGCAGAGCTGAGGAAGTTAGGATTTGGATATAGAGCTAAATTCATTCAGAAATCTGCATCACAGATTGTGGATTGGGGAGGACTTAAATGGTTCAACAGTTTACAAGACATGAAGTACAAAGATGCCAAGATTGAACTCATGAAATTGCATGGCATTGGACCTAAGGTAATTTAACTAAAGTAATGAGGCGTTTCACTATGGTTCTGTGTCAGGATAATTTAAGGACAACTGCTGTCCATTAGGTAGATATCATCAACACAGTAGGAGGTACCTATGCAGGTAACATGCAATTATGAGCTCTAAGAGTATATCAATATGATACTCTATAGTAATAATATTTTCACACATGACCTTTGTAGTCTGTCAGACCCATCGATCAGGCTCAAATGGAATAATGTGGACTACTAGATTACAACTACCACTTGTTATTTAAGTCTGATCCTTGACAAACAATAAACCTATCAGATATTTACATCTCATTACACAATATTAAATTATCAAAAGAGAATTTATTTTCGGTATTTAGCCAAGCATTGCGCTAGCTATTTGTATAATTAATAGAACCTATAGTTAAGAAAACAGTGATGCATCAATCAAGCTCCAGCCCTTGACCAATCAGGTTCTAAGAACTTAACGTTTTGACGATAGCTTTAGTCATAAATTGGTACCGTTTTATTCTACAGGTGGCAGATTGCATTTGTCTAATGTCATTAAATCACCTCGAGGCCCTCCCAGTAGACACTCATGTATATCAAATAGCTGCACAAAATTACTTACCCCACTTGCGTGGCAAAAAGAGTGTTACGGAGAAAATGTATGCAGAAATTGGAGACCACTTCAGAAGTTTGTATGGAGATATGGCTGGATGGGCTCATACAGTGAGTAGAATTTGTTTTTATGTGTTCAAGAAGTGATTTAGACTTTTTTAAGGTGGGTAAATTTAGGGTCTGCTATAGTAATAATAAAGTTCTAGTTTTCGGTTAAATTAACTTTGTTTCAAACAAGTTAATTACTATGTTATTTAAAATAATACATGTAATTTCAGGTATTATTTTGTGCTGATCTAAAGAAATTTCAACAAAATGACAACTGTGAAAAAGAAGATACAAGTAAACCTAAAAAGAAAAGAAAAAAACTGTGATACTGAATAAAACAACATAATTCTTCAAAACTACGTTTTATTTGTGAAGCTACTTATCTAAGGTTAATTTATAGATAATAATATACAAAAGTATAAAAAGGAAAACTTAAAATTACGTCTTATTTTTTCTCAGAACAATTTAATACAAAAATTTAGTTATCAATTCCTACAACTACGACTAACACAACCTGGAATGGTACAAAATGATATTCTTTTTGAAACACCAATGGCAAATATCACAATTCTCTAGATAAATTATATTGCACATAATACTAACTTACATATATTGTGAGATTAAAAATTAAATGCTTTTTTCGGGATAGTTTCAAATCAAAAATATTTGATTTGATTAACTTCACAGCTCTAGTAACATCTAGGTTTCAAACAGTCTTATTCATACAAGTCAAATAGGAGTATTTATACCTAACATTATAGATCTTTAACAGAAATATCGTATTTTCACACAAGTTATAGCAAGCATATTTCTGTTTTTTTTTTTGTGTTGGATAAAATATACATTATTACCATCTATCTTATAAAAGCTATCGCGCCAACTTTAATGCACCTATATTTTTTCCTTGATTTATAACCCTGAAGTAGTGGTAATTTTTTTCAAATTTAATTACTAAGTAAGTAAAAATTAAAAAAGAATTTGCCTAATACGACGAAAATTCCAACGATGAAGAAAAAAGAAATATAATGTAAAATCCACGCGTTTTCATCATTATCCGCCTGTTTCCCAATCCCCTTTAGGGCCAGCACCCATTTAGGATTTGGCTGATCTATTTTATGGCCAGACCGCTTGACGCGCATCTAGAGAATGTCAGTTTTAGGGATGAAGGAAAAATTAAAAGAATAGTAGGAGATACAGCAGGCTTTGGCTAGGAAAACGGAATTAAGACTGCACTAGCACTTGAAGAGGTTTTGGTACCTGTATGTACGTCTTGTGATTGGAGACTACTGGGACTATGAAGGACTGTGTTCAAGTAACGTAGTTTGTGTGGTTTGATGTTTATAGCCAGTGTATTGGAGTTACTAGTATTTTTTTTTTCTTTATATTGAAATCTAATGTTGCGGTTTCACCTGTCGTTTTCGGCACAAAGTAGTCACTGATTACTGATTACCAATATAGAATATAGAAAATATTGTTTAAAAATGTCATTAACGAAAGCATTATTCAAGTTTGTGACTAAACTCCTGTATAAGTCGACAATAGAAAGAACCTAAACCAATGATATATCGTCTTTTATTATGTTTCTTGCCCCTATTTTTTTTTTACTTATTTAATTAGAGTTTTTAACCATCTGGTGCAATTACTTATTACCGTAGTAAATCTGTGGACAGTTTTCTATGAGAGCTTGAAGAGCGCGTATTTCGAAGGCGAGGTCCGTAATGGCGGGGGGCGTGGCCACCAATGTTGGTGCAAATACTGTGCTTAGGTTATGTGCGCTCATCTTGTTTACCTCCGCCAGTTGGGTTACCCTGGAAAAATAATTTAGGACATTTTTTTTTTGTATAGCATGTATTATGAATTCATCATGTAACTTATTAATCATCATCCTGCTATATATTTGCATTGATGTAATCAGTAACCACACTAATATACTTTCGGCATTACTCACTTGTGTAAATGCTGCACCATATACTGCAAGCAGTTGAAGTGGGCCGGAGGCAACAGGTCTAAACATTCCCGCAGAGCTACGATTTGTTCAGCCAATGTCTTCATTTCTGAAATATAACAAACTTTCGGAAATTGCGGCAATCTAAATTAAGATTTGGCAACACTGACATTACCATATCCCATTTAGGCGTTTACACACATTTAGCAGCAGAGAGCAAGAGCAGAATATGAAGATTGTATATGTATGTAAGTAAACCACATTCAGTTGAAATCAATCTTATCTTAGAAAATAAAAAAAAACACTTACGGATTGCCTGAACCAGTTTCGGATGAACTTCGTAGGTTATGAGTGGGACTGGCAACAATCGCAGATACAGTTTGAGGGTACCCGCCACTACGTTAATGTTGCTATATACACTTAGATCTGCCGCTTCACCATCTACAACATGTAATAGTTATCTATACTCCCCCATTTTCTGCCTCTGCCTAAATAAAAGCCGGTTTTCAATCCTCAGTCATACTGTCAGATAACTAACTTGGTAATAAATTTATCAAGCGAATAAACTTTTTCTGCCTTTTTTAAATAATATTTGTGTCAATCTTTTCTTGTCATTGCTCGTCTGTCAGATAATAAGACAGCCTTATTGACGGTGGTAGTGACGGTGAACGATGGAACGATAGTAGTGGTTTGTTTTTGTCATTTTTTTTTTTTTTAACTATTTAATTAACAACGTTTGCTGGGTAAATATTATTCGCTCATAAATATTATGTTTTTGTATCCTACCCACAACTAAATACTATTAAGTAATGTTATTTTTGTAATTGCTTATGTTATTTAATTATTAACTGTTATGTACTAAATTGATTTTGCATGTTGTGGCAATCCGCATAAACCTCAGTGGTTTAAGGTTTGCCTACACTTAACTATTTTTCTAGTTTTGTAAATAAATAAATAAAATAAATAAATGTAGAAATATGTAAGTAAAATTAACTAGACTTCCTAATTTGGGATGAGACGGCCGTATGTGAGATGTGTCAAGTTATTATTATTATGTATAATAATAAACAGCTAACAGCTAATCTTCTGACATAGAAACCGTTTTATCAATAATAACCAATAAACAAAGATACTAACCTTTATCAAAAGCTAATTTGAGAGCTTCAATTTCATCAGCAAACCCAGAAACTCTGTATATACCTTCAGAATCCATGCCTCTACTTTCTATTTCGTTCACACATTTCTTCACAACAAACGGTAATGTACTTGAGTGCGCATTCAGTAACGTCGTAAGATCAATACCGAATACGCCACGAATTTTTTTCAAATCAGGAACGCAGTGATTTGGAACCCGCTCTGAACATTTTGAGTGGGCGATGAAGCCACAGTCTGGAAAGTTATCCAAATAAAACATTGTTAAAAATTAATAAATTTACTTAATGATTTAAACTATTTAAAATAATATGTATATTAGACCCAACGCTATGTGCTAGTATCTATGTAGAACTAATTTTACATAAGGAAAGTGTCACAAATAGTTCGCATCGCAAGGAGGAAAACATAGGTAAGATGAAAATCATAATTTTGTTGAACATTGAACAAAAATAACTAACATAACGGTACTTAGGAAAGGGCATGAAAACATTATTATAATATTTAAAAACTACAAGCGAGCATTATAGTGGTATGCAACCACGATGATTATGATGTGTAACCTTTGAAATCCCACCTACCATATGCTATTAAATTTTTTACAAATTCAAACAAACAAATTAATTAGAGCGCAATTTCCCTTCCTTCCACAGATTTTTTTTCCAAACTTGATTGGGGTCGGCGTTAAGTACTAGGATATGGCTGAACTTTGATTTTTACGCGAGCGACGATCTCCACAACCCAAGTACTAAGCGATATCGAAATTCTGTAGAGAGACTGTTGTCGGACTATTCAGGGACTCCAACTGTCCGTAACGATTGCCACAGATATTCGTATAGCAACCGGGACCGATGGCTAAGATGGGGTCTCAATGTGTTAAGAAGGGTCATCAATCCATAGACGGACCTGACTAGGATTCCTTAACTTTGCAATATGTTAACCTACTTGGTTATCATTTAGCCACGAGAAGAGCGCAATTGTACGTCTTCCTATTATACATCAGATTACAGAAAAGCGAGAGAAAAGATGTTACATGTCACATCTATACAAATAAATAAAATTTGAGTGTCTGTTTGTAATATTAAAATAACCGCTTTTTACTAAATGCATATGTATGTTTACACGGTACATATGCCAAAATAACATATTTTACAATTTTTGTCTGTCGGTCTGTCTGTCTGTCTGTTTGTTTCGGGTAATCTCTGGAACGGCTGGACCGATTTCGACGGGACCTTCACTGGCAGATAGCTGATGACATAAGGAGTAACTTAGGCTACTTATTTTAGACTAGCTTCGCCCCGCGGCGTTGCCCGCGGTTATAACAACAAACGTGGGTAACACCGCGGGTCTCAGCTAGTCAAAAATATACTTGTTACCTCAACTCGTACTTACAAATTATAACTAGTTAAAAAATATTAGCTTTTGTGTTATGTTTAACATCACTCTACCCCCTTTACACATCAAATTGGGACTCATGAAATTTCTTGTGAAGGCGCTTGACAAAAACAGTGATGCTTCCGGTATTTACAAAAAATCTTTCCAAACAATACAGAGGGAAAACTGAAAGAGGGTATATTTGTTGGCCCATAAAGCTATAAAATTATGAAAGATTCTCAGTGAAAGCCTTTTATCTGTTATTGAAAAATCAGCTTGGAAGTCATTCAAAACGGTTGTGGAAGATATTTTGGGCAATAAAAAAAGTGAAAATTACAAAGAAATTTTTAGCGATTTGTTGATTGTTAAATCAACAGATGGGAGTAAACACGTCATTAAAGATTCATACTTTTATGGCACTCGCATCTGAGTTTTTTTCTCTGGAAACTTCCAAGTATGAGTGACGAACATACTTCCAAGTATGAGTGATGAACAAAGGGAACGTTTTCACCAAGTTTTAAAGGTTTTGAAAACATGTTAGGGGATTACTGTTGGACCATTAAAGAGAAACTGATTCAAATAATATAGAATAATAATAATAGAAGGCAAAAAATTGACAATTAGTTTTTAGTATTAATAGCAAAATTATGTATTCCAGTTAAGTAAATAAATATTTCTTAAATCAGAATATTTTTCTAGATAATTCTACTTAAATGAATAATAACAACTTTCAGCTGGGGCATGAAAACCGTGTAAACTAGTGTTATTATATATTTAACGATTAAGTCGGTGCCTCGAAAGACCTCCAACCTATTTTTTCGTCAAATCAATACCCATGTTACTTTAGAAATAGAACTCATCAGGTACCTATTTTTAAATTTCATTACTTAAGAGAGTAGGTATATTTTTAACCGACTTCAAAAACACAAAAGAGGTTATTAATTCGCTGTTTTTTTTTTGTTGTTTTGTAATAACTTTTTTTATTAAGAGTATGTGTATTAAGTTCAAAAAGAAGGAATAATACGTCTCTATGTAAATAAAATGAAATTCTTTTGTCAGTCAAATACCTAGTCTTTTAACAGACGTGCTTAACAACCGTAAATTTTAACTTGAATACTTATATAACTTCAGGACTACAGGGTACAGTTTAATGTGAATATTGATATAACTGGTTCGCTATATTTAATGGTATAATTTCCTATAAATACTGCATAGATTCAAAAACATTCTTCCTGTTGACAAAGAATATGTCATTGCACCGATAAAGGTATTGTTAGCGAAGGTAAATTCTTGTGCCGTCTCAAAAATATAATTATATTGTGGTACACAATTTATATCTAAAAATTAAATCATAATGAAAGATATAATTCTTAACTTCACTACAACAGTCCTCAATAGTCCACTGCTCAACATAGGCCTCTCCTAAGAAAGGAGGTTTTGGCTTACTACATCATGCTGGCCAGATGGGTTGGTATGGGGTTTGTGTCAAGTTTTCCTTCTCTTTGCAGTGCTGTTGCCCTGCATAGTTTGTTCCCTTAGTCGGCTCTTACGACACCCACGGGATGAATAGGGGCGGTGACACTTTGTATTCTTAATCCTTCACCACACGGAACTGGAGGTCCCACTGAGATAGATATATATATATATATATATATATATATAAAAGACAAAACCGACCGTAGGGATCGAACCCACAACACTCAGCGTAGTAGGAAGCGGCGTGGAGACCGGTTAAACCACTACGCCATCAGTGAAGTCAAAATACAGGCATAATTATATGAAAACATTTAATTTAGTCACTGTCTATTTGTATATAAATACAGGGTTACTGGCAGAGGCGGAATAAGTATCAAGAGAGCCCTAGGCAAGCATCTCTTGCCCCCCTCGCGCCTCTCTAGCGCCCATATGTGTGATAGTGATGACTCCAAAGTTTAGTTGTCATTTCTTCACTAGATTTTTTTTTTCGTGTCGTGTCGCGTATATGGGTTTTCACCCCACCAGGGTTTGTGGTGAGGCAGTGTATTGGAATCGAACACACTGCGCCAGAAATAGGAGCGATCCCTTATCACCTTATTACTTTTTTTTTTGTGGCAGATGGCCTCACCTGTTGCACCTGATGCTTAATGACTTCTATCCTCCATAAGTGCAGGCCGCACTTATGCAGGATGGAAGTAATTAAGTTACCTCTGCCGTCTTAGGCATCTGCAGTACCTGGCCCGTTTCCGGACCTCGCAGACCGGCAGTCTTCTCAGCCTCTTCAGATTCCGTTCCACCGTCTTCTTCTCGGAAAAAGGAGGTGGCGAAGGTCCACCATCGCCATCGCTCATCACGGTACCGAGCTAGAAAATTCTCACTCCAATGGCCGTCACGAGGCCACACCTCTGCTCCATCCACGCCACGCCGGATCAGACACAGATGATCTCCTGCGTCAGCCAGTATGAGAGGGTCCCGTATTTCCTCTCGAGCCAATCCCCAATTACAGGTACCGCTGCTATAATGGCATGCCAGGCGCTTGGTTGCCCAAGTCTTTCTCTCCACTCCTCCATTAGGACCGGGCTGAAGTTGGAATTTCGGTCCTCGATTTCTCCGGTCCTACAATCTCGACCGAGTACGAACCCCAGGTACCTCATCGAGGGCTCGATGTCAATGCGAGTGCCTCCTACAATGAGACTACCTCAGGTGGCCCACTCCGAGGCTTATGAAAGAACAAAACCTCAGATTTGTGCAGAGACATCTCGATTCCCAGTCGCCGAATCCTGCACTGACGCTGGAGCGTGCACCACCCAGTCGTAGCCGATATTCCACAGGAGCGGCTATAATACCGACTCTTGCGGAACATCGCACGACATTTAGAAAACATCCGCCACAAGAGGACGTTACCTCCTCCTCAAACCACGCTCAGGGCGGCATGAGGCGCTGGAAGGCACGCCAGCTATGAAGCGTGTAACGGCTGGTAGCAAGAAATGCTCTTCAACGACTGCAATGAGCGCCCGACGTTACGTTGACCAGTGTATGCTGAGCCGAGTTCAAACTGTACTGTGTAATAGGCGCAACTCAATTCACTCCTAACGATAGATTGCTGGTGCCTCCCTAAGCAGACGTGCCCAGAAAATACCTGCATCAGTCGGAAGGAAAGGGTCCTGTGCTGCCACCAGGACCGGCAGGACCGCCGCCACGGCGCCAAAGCCAGTACGTGGAGCGTCCAACCGACCAACGAGTCATCGTGGTTCGGTAAGCGGCCTTTAGCCACTCATTTCCGCCTCTAAATCCCATGGCAGAGACCCGCTAAGAGCCACTCAGGGCTAGCCCCCTTAGAGAGCGCCTTATTCTAGGCGATCAGAGCTTCCGCCTACAACGTTGCACCGTTTAGTGCCATTGACTAGACAACCCTGGTCTATTACTACAAGTTTTAGAGTAATCTCCACTACAGCTACAGTTGTAGCAACTGCATTTTGAGTACACCCACTAGCTTCAATCTTAGTAGGTATCAGAAAATGATAGCAAAGAAGTGGTGGTAATTACGTGATATAATCCTATGATCTATAATTTCTATAGAATTAAGGAATTGTTTATATTTAGTAAGTATATGCTGACACAGATTTTTTTAAATGTGTCTTTTAAATCTCGTGCCCCTAGGCACGTGCCTACTTTGCCTTATTGATAATCCGCCACTGGTTAAGTCGATATTAGACTTTTAGCATCTTCTATAAAAATTGTTGAAATTTTACCTAGTACAATTTGTTAGAACTTAATATTCCTTTTTTCTTTGTTTTTTTTTGTAGTTAATACATTGTTTAAAAATTTCCATTAACAAAATTGTGGTGAGCTTAACAAACTGGCCCAAGTAGATGGTATATAATAGCTAAAAGAAAAAAAAAAAACTTTGCCACCAAAAGAAAAACTATGACAATAAAATTGCAGATTTTTTAAGCACATGTACACATTGTCAGCTATTTAACAGGGTATAATAGTCTGGGATAGTATCAGAATTCGTAGAAAAAACTTAGATGAATGACCGGGAGTATTAAGAATTATCGTACAACCCGGCAGTACCTAGTTGTAAACTTGGCTCATTTTTGGGACTGTTTCGTTTTCTATTTGTGACTAACAATTGCTAAGTGGACATTGATTTGTACTACTGATACTTTTGAAGATGACCACCTATATGAACGAGGAATTTCATTTTACAGTATTTATAATATAATAAAATTTATATTTACCTTCACATTTAACCCCTTGAGCAGTAAATCCCCATAGAAAGTTTGCACATAGCTCACACCAATTTAGTCCCTTAAATGTGTGCACTTTGAAACTATGGGACTTTGAATATTTAACCATTAATGGGTAGTCTTCTATTGATGGTGTCAGGTCAAATGGTGGTTTCTTTATAGAATCCACTTCTGTGATTGATTTTGTTTCATCTTTTGTGATTATTGGACTTGATTTATTTGATGACCTGAGAACATGAATAAAAACAAATAACTAGAAGGACAATCCAATTTTAACACGTTAGACGCCATGGGGGTCACCGGTGACCTCACCCTTTCTCTATCATAGCGCCATGGGGGTCACCGGTGACCTCACCCTTCCTCTATCATAGCGCCATGGGGGTCACCGGTGACCTCACCCTTCCTCTATCATAGCGCCATGGGGTGCACCGGTGACCTCAGCTATGTATTTGACTGTAACTATGTAACCCATGTACAGAATTGAATAAAACTTATTTTCTATACGTATCGTAACATAATAAACAAATTACGACCAAAAGTATTTTTACGATTTTTATTTTTTTCTATCGGCGTTTAACGTGTTAAAAATTATAATATTTATTTATTAAAAACAATTACAGTGTCTTTACAGGATTTATCCCAAAACGATACTGTAAGTAAAAACAGTAAGTAACAGTTATTTATATATAAAAATCATTTGCTGCATCTCTGTGCGACTTCTTTGAAGTTCGGCAGGCTACAGTTGTAGATATCTACTTGTATTGAAATAATATTATTATATGTTACAACCTATTTAATAACCTGTTTTTTATTAAACTGTTTAAGGTTCTAGCATACTCACTTATGCATTTGTGAAAGTGTGTTTAATTTACGTTTGTTCAATGTTACATATGGGCTTTCGGGATAATTGGCTTTTGAATTAATCATTTCGAAAATGTGATGCGCCTTCAGTTCCATGTGACATGTAACCAGGCCATCAGCTACCAAGTCATAAATAGTCTCATATCGCTTAGAACCAATATAATGACTCCCATCATAATATAGTTTGTAATGACGAATTTTATCATCAAACCTGAAAAGTAAGGAAGTACTTTTTTTCTGAACTATTTCAATACTTTTTCAATTTAAAGTAATGTTATTGCATTTCAAATAAATGTTACTTTAACGTCAGAGTGTAGAAATCGTTGCTTTGGCTTCCTTTCCTAATCAAATAAGCACCATTAGGTTCGTTCTCCAGTATTAAAGTAGCTTCTTTGTGGCTCATGATACCATGGTATTCTCTTCCATAGAACTCTGGTCTGTCTCTCAGGTCATCGCACGTAATTCTCTTAGGTTTAGGCGCTTCCATCTGTATACGGTACACTAAAACAACAAAACCAAATGTTCCAAAATAAGCATGAAAACACCGCTTATTTACAACTTTATTTTAACTTACATTCCGGTTTCCAGATGTTCCTAAGATTCTCCATATTGACTTATCACAATCTGATAGCCTGGTTCCTTTATTATATTTCACCCTTGTAATTCACGGATGCGAAATTACAGCAGAAATTATGAGTAATTAGAAATCGTAACGTAAACAAAACTTACGACATCTGTCATATACCAAAAGTTCTACTTCTCTGACATTGACGTTTAACCTCACAGGTATAAACATAGAGTGAACAAGAGCCCCAATCTTGCAATATAGGCAACGAGAGAGATGGACAATAGTTAGATCCCGCTATCTCTTTTTAGTCCAGTGCTGTGGTTGGCTTGAGAATATGAGGGGCTACAAAGTAGCCAATCACAGCTTAGCTAAACAGAGACAGAGGGAAATATCGGGTATCTATCTGTGTCTGCGATTGGTTATCGTGAAGTAGAAATTTCGCAAAAACAAATTGGGAGTGAATAATTCACTTACAAGGTATACAAAACACATAGCTCAAAAAGTTGAGGTAAATAATGAAGAACTCAACTAATAAACATCATGTAAACATATAATATAATAATATATTATATATATTTAAAATTGGAACATCAAGCTAATCTGAATTGAAATGATTGAGGTTAGAATAAAACTTACGTGTGAAAACTACCTTTATTCAGAGGAGAGTAATCTTCTTTGCATTGCAAAAATGCTTCATTTTACATTTTGAATTTAAAGCTTTTCATTAAAAAGATTTACAGTTTGGCAAAATAGAAAAAAAAACGCAGTCCTCCTTATTAACCCCTCATATTCCTCAGCCAATCACAGAGCTCGATTAGAACGAGATAGAGGAAACTATCTAGACTTAAATTAACTAAACTTGTATTAATGACAACAAGAGAGATGGATATCTCTCTTGTTGTCTTTAATGCAAGTTTGGGGCTCTTGTTCACTCTATGCTTATATCTCTATGGTTGTAGCAAGATAAGCATTCTCGTAATTTTAGCTTAGTAGAATAGAATAAGCTTTATTGTACCCCAGTTCAGTTCATTATACATACAATTATATAAAATACGTATTTTAATTTAACGACCATGTACAAATGGCGGCCTTATCGCTAAAAAGCAATTTCTTACAGGCAACCTTTGGATGGACAAATACACTGTAAATATGTAATTTCATGGGCAGTTTTGGTGTGAAAAAAGTGTAAAGAAATCATAAAATATATATATTTCACCATCAAATGCTGTTTTGCTGATTGCTGATAAAAGGTAAATAACAAAGTAGTATTGATTATACAACTTTTTCAAACCTACTAGCAATACCTACTTATATAAATACACCTTAATTCAGAAATAATCTGTGAAATATACACACATTCTATGTTATAAATACATATATCCATACATACACAAATAAATAAAATCGACATTTCATTTCATCATTAAAACATGTGAAACCAGTATTGAACTGTGCCGACGTAGCTTTGACTGCACAGATGGCGCAGTGGCCTAAGTGGTCGCCACGCCGCTTCCTACTGCGCCGAGTGTTGTGGGTTCAAACCCCACATGGGACGACACTTTGTGTGATCCACAAATTGTTGTTCTGAGTCTGGGTGTTCTTTGTGTCCGTTTCATGTATGTTTGTAAAGTCCCCCGCGACACAGGATATATTCCTAATGTGGGATTGTCTTTTAAAAAAAAAAAAAAAAAAAGCTTTGAAACCAATAGACATTTGAAAGTAAACATACATATGTCTCATTTACACGAGTCGCAAGAACAATACCACCGCTAGGGTTAGACAAAGACAGACATATAAAGATGCGATGACAACCGATTTTTGTTGTAATTAATTTTTGTAATCGAACAAATTTTGTAAAATGTTTATTGAATTGAATAGGGCATGGCTAACAAATTAATTATACAGGTTTTCTTCGAATAATTATTATTCTATGAAGCATCAGTTAGTTTACAATTTGTGACCTTGAATCGCATCGCATCTATCACTACGCTTTACCCTTTTAACCATTTTCCAAAAAGAAGGAGGTTCTCAATTCGTCGGAATCTTTTTTTTATGTATGTTCACCGACTACTCGAAGACGCCTGAACCGATTTGGAAAATTATTTTTTTGTTCTAAAGGGTATACTTCCCAGGTGGTCCCATTTAAATTTTATTAAAATCGGTCAAGCGGTTTCTGAAAAATCAACAAAAATCTAAAAATTGTATAGATCGATGATATTTTTGTTTACTTATGAAACCTTGCAGACAGCAAGGTGCCGCAGTGCGTTTAGTTGGTCTTTGTTTGTATTGGTTTAAATTCGGTTCAACTTTCTTTTCAAAGGGATTTATTGGAGATTGTTATTGTCACGTGTACTATGTTCAACTCGATCGGCGCCACATTGAACACTGAACTGACGTTTGCTGCGTATATGGCTGTGGACAGATATGCAGTGGCAACGCTTTTGCCTACGCAACTAATCTAGTGTAATATAATAGATCAAAGATACTACTACACTGCGTTGTTCGTTGTTATTGAACAAAAATAAAATAAAATGTTTAGAAATGTAACAACTGTTTTGTATTTTTTAAATATACATTTGACACAATATACAATCCGCTTCAAAGATTGTTTTTATCTGTTTTATAATATAGCTAAGGATAGAAGATATAAGTCGTAGTGTAGGTACAATACCTGGGAAATTGGATTGAATGATTTTGATCTTGACACTGGATTATGCTATTCACATGACACCCAAGCATACGTATCGGTTTTAAATCCGTTCGTGAATTTCTGTGTGCTTTTCCTTAAGGCAAAACCGACTTTGGCATAATAGACAGGTAGACTTCGCGGGGAAAACCCGAAAAATCTGGCAAATTCGTATTTGAGTGAAAAAGTGTTTTATTGAAGATTTAACTATCAAGAATTGATTGCAGCCAAAATTATCAAAAATTATTATCAGCTAAATTCAAATAAAAAAAAAACAAAAATGGTAAAAAACAGTTTTTCGCTTCTGGAACGAAAGCTAAAGCAACAAGTGTGCGCAATAAAAAAAACAAAGAGAACGAATCCCCGGCAAGCAAAATCGGACCATCAAATCAGATTTCATTTGATAAATATACATTAAACAAAATGTCGATAAAAAACAGGTACTTTTTTGTTACTAACACTATGACCGTACTGATACTATTTTGTTATAATTTTTATTGCAATCAATTTCTAATAATTTAATTTTTAATAAAAACAATCCGGACCAAAATGCTAATTCTACCTGTCTATAAGCCACTGGTCCCTTTTTCCGATACGAGCATTTCACACTACTTAGTGCAGAGTTCAAATGAATCCATGGTGGTATTTTAGGATACTTCGAGTCAGGTACTCGTCGCAGTGTTCAATACTCGGGAGGTGTAATGAAACATTCGATGCCATGCATGGGTTTATTGCAACCAAAAATAATTTGTAGAGGGCGGTCGCAGCCGTGTTACGAATTTGCTTACTTTGCTACTCTAGTAATAACACATAACGTAACAATACTGTATGTACCTACCGGTACAGTCTCGTACAATTCCTTGACCGTATCAAAAATCACGTCTCCAACCAGCAAGGAACGAGAATAATGACTCTTTTGAGTTAGGAAGAAACAGATCACTGACAAACGAGTTTAAACTAAGTTCTTCAAATTCATAAGAAGCCCCTATCTGTTTTGATGATTGATTGGTTACAATCTGACCCAATTTTAAACTAACTTCTATAGAAGGTACCACTCGGTATCAGTATTAATTTTATTTTTTTCATTGTTTGTGATCCATTTGCAAAGTTCAGATTCAGAAGTATTCGATTTTTCTAGGGCTCCACACCTGGTGCTGGTGTTGAGCTTGTAAAACATACTTTTGATTCCGGAGAGAATATCCACTATGCCACAAAAGCCTTTCGGAATAAAATTGATTTGAACTTTGGTCTGCCTTAGGCTATAATGTGATAAATTTGTGTGGTGACAGACTAAGAATACGGAGTGTCACCAACCCCGAGGGTGTCATAAGAGCCGACTAAGGGATCAAAACTTTACACAAACCTTTTACCAACCCGTCTGGCCAGCATGGTATAGTACTATTAAAGGCTGTGATGGGCTATTAAAGGCTAATGTGATGTTGTGATGATGATGTAACCAATTTTTAATTTGTAAATTCGTGTGATAGAAACAATAAATAAAGAAGCGGCATTTGTATTATTTATTTCATCAGCATATTTCATTGGTACATTGTTAGAGATTTATCATATTATAGTGTTTTGCCATAATTCATTAGTATGTAAGTAATATACAACTCTTCATAATCAATTATGCACAGATTAATGCACGATTAATATACATAATTTATATTATCTCATAAGTATAAATAACCATACACATAGTTACACATGTGTTAAAAGATATGAATACAGATTTATAACAATATATAAACAAGTGAACAACTTCGAACCGTGTTAGAAATAACACTAGAATATTCTTTATTAATTATAGAAAATTTTCAAATTACTGGTTATATATATATTATAATATTATGTAGGTAGATATGTAGCGGTGCTTAGCTAAAACATTGGAACGCGAGCGCACGCATGATTATGTACAACTTTTTAATATATATATATCAGTTATACATCATAGTGAGCTAAACTGTGGGGCTATATACTTTACGAGTGATTAACACTAGGAATGGTAAGCTAAATCTGGCTTCATATGTGAAAAGGATTAAATATATGAGAACGAGAACTTTATTGGATAGATATCAAGCAATATAAAGGACTTAATAGAGAATCCCTTGTACGAAGTGAGCAATCTCGAAGTAGCCTACATTCCAAGCGACCTTACCCATCAATATGTACAACAACAATTTTAGAACATTTATAAATTATTTAGATCCTTCAACATGGCTATGTAAGGGCATCTTCGTAGGTACCTACGTTTGTATATATTTATTATATATATATACTATATATAAGTTAGGTCGATAAGTTTTATTATTATATTATAAGATTTATTTAGATATATATGACACATCGACTTTGGTTTCATCAATATTATGTTTAAAAAACACGATTGTACCTGTCGTAATGATGTATATTAATTTTAACGATTTCTATATGATTTTAAAAGTAATAATATTTCATGCAAGCAGTCTTCTGTCGGTTTGAAACGACGGTAGTAGTGTTAACTGTTATTTGTTGCCTTATCCACGAAACTGATGGTAAGGTGAAAATATATTAATACACTATAATGTTTTTAAAAGCAAAAATTCAGAATAATGGTATGCAGCTCTATAGCATGGTGTCATTTAGAAGATAATGAAATGTGAAATATTGTCTCAAGATAAGTACGTTATTCAGACATTTAGATGGATTGACGAAGTACAAACTATAATATTTATAAATGTAACAGATGTATTGTATGTAAACATGCTTACTCAAGGCGGATGTTGATGCTTTGCAAAAACACATTACACGCAGTTAGATTTAGTCCAATACATCAGTTAGTTAATTTAGGTGACAAATGACGTACGTTAGTAAGTAGGTATTATATTAAGAATGATAAAGATGGTATCACGTCTACTATCACAGAATATTATTATTTCAAGAAGAATCAAAGAATCAGGCATATAAATTTAATGCGCTTACACAACATTTTATTAAAATTATCATTACTATGTAAGTATTTTGAGTCAGCTGTTGGATGTTACAAAAGGATATCAGCAAATCTCAGTAGGCACCTGTACTTACATTTTCCCAAGATTTACATATAATTTAAAAGATAGTATTTTATGAAATACACGTACTTGATATTTTTAACAGATTTTAGATATACAAATTACTTTTAATACATTTATTTTTTACACAGGGGCGTAACTTATCTAGATGACATTTTAATTTAACACTGGATTTTACATAAATCCAAGCATGGGGTACATTTTCAAACTGATTTCTTGAAAACATTATTGTGATTAAATTTATTGTTCAATGGGACGGCTGCAGCAGCAGTGTGGTTTTAGTGCTGGCAAAAAATATTCGTCATTTTAATTTGTCTGTATTGTTAATTTTAAAAGGTTTTATTTCTTAAATTAACACTAGTCAATGAGGGTAGAGAACATATTATAGAAAATCACAACTATGACGTAGAGATGGTGTAGTAGTTAATAACTTATAACTTTATATTTTCTGTACCTACAATTAGGAAATAATGCTTGTCCAATAAAGTTTAAACAACTCACTCAATATTATAGTCTATCCCTAACAGACGGATGCGAGTCCAAGATAAAGAAAGCATCAGATTACACAACTAACCAGGTGTTTAGATGTTAAACTCCAACCGTGAATGCCATAGAAAAGGCATTCATACTCGAATATCCACTAGACTGTGCGTTTATTGAAATCTTACTATGTACAACATTATCTAAGTGCGGTATTCTCGTGCCAACGCGATGAGCCACCTAAATACAAAGTATTCATATACAGTCCGGCCGAGTTCCACAACGAGCCGCAGCAGGATCAAACGACACACGTCCGCAGTAAGGCTGCGCGGTGACCATCCGCCAGCCGCCGGCGGCCGCGCCCGCGCCGAACCGCGGGGGCGCGGGGGCCGCCCCGCCTGCATTATTTTCCACCGAGTCCAAACTTCATAAAGATCAACTCCTTCCCCTTGCTGAGTATGTCCCCACCGGGTGCAGTCATTTCGGAAAATTTTTGCATTAGATTGGGTTGCGAGACCGGCGTTGCTTGCGACGGTATTGGCTGGGATGCAGGCGCGGGCACTACTGCGGGTCCGGCGCGACGTGCGGGAGAAGCCGGTGCAGGTACACCACCCGCTATCGAATTTGTTATACCAACACTCGAACCCGCCGCTGTTGTGCCTGGCGACTGCACCGGGGTGCTTGCGTTACCAACGTTCGTGCGCGCGATCGTGCTCACTGGCTGAGCGATCGCCGCGCCTCTCGCCCTCGCCTGTTATGCCAAACTTATATTACAACAAATACTTTCAGTTAGGTCGAAGTTTGTATTAATGCATGAATAAACTGTAAGTTAAATTTCAGATTTTAAGGATTGTCACATTTATGGTGCAATTATAAAAGAGCATGTTTCACTTATTTTTATATAAAAAGATAATGGGTAAATATGATGAATAGGGTATGAAATCATTATAAAGAAATTCGAGAATGCATCCATTATCCCGTTTATCGCATTATATACTGTCATTTCAAAGTAGGTATATTGACTTTGATTAAATATAGAGAATATTAAAGTCTCCACCTAAGTAGTTTTAACATAATTAGTATATTTCATGCTATACAATTTATGTTCACAAAATAATTTTATTCAGTATGAATCACAGTAAGTACACACATCAATCAAACAATTTGTAACTGTGCAGTAGAACATGCATGGCCATTAACAAAGCAAGTGATATAAATAATATTACGACTGGATCCAATCGCATTCATATTAAAAGGTATTATCAAGTTCAAAGATAAAAATACAGAATTTGTTAATAGGGTACAAACTCCTAGTACATTCACCATGCTTTAGACTACAACAAAAAGCTTGAAAAAGATATGTCACTAATCGATTACGCTAACCACGAACAAATCTAAATCCAATAAACACGAAAACTAGTAGTTTTGTATATAAGACTTAACATTTGTGATATCGTAATCGTTTAGTATAGGAGCACATTCACAGGCCTCAGAGACTGTAGTGACGATATTATGGTGAATGGGTTTATGGTATCTGATGTGAGTGAAGTACGCCAGTGTATGTTTTGTTCTAGTCTCTGTATGATCTGGTCCAGTATGCGATGACAGCTAATGATGTGTAGATAACATTATGGTAATCATAACCGTCTGTCCGCGCAGGTTTAGCGGACCGAGTGACCGCGGGCGATCATACTACCAGATGCCCTCATTTGTACACTGAGCGCAATAATGAAACGCAAGGTAAATAAATAAAAAAAGAAATAAATGAAGAAAAGGAAATAGTGAAAATAATAAAATCTAAATATAATGAAGTGACAGTCGAACAAAAAACGTCTAGTATCGTTGCATAGTATATTTGAAAGTATTCTTGTGGGTCGATTACAAACGGTATTTTTACCTGAGAATTCGCCTGTTCTGGATTACTGGCGCATGTGTTGTGGTCTAACTGAGAAGGGGGAAGAGGGCAGGCATCTAGCAAACAGACAATACACACAACATATATAGTGACCACAGACAACCACTTGAATCTTGGATCACACCTCACGCGCACCTCGTGGGTTCTGTGCTAGATTATGTTGCGTGTATTTGTACGACCAGCCTACCCACCGTGCCCGACTAAATGCCAGGTGTAATAGATACATATATATAACATGTGACAAACAAAACATAACAATAGGACAGACAGTTGGATAGACGAAAATAAAATAACGTATTCTCATTAACAAAATTCGTTTATACATATCGTGCCTTCCATTTGTGTAAGTTGATATAAATACATAATTATTACATAGTTTTATAGTAGCATTGCAAGTTTTGTACCGAATCAGAACCTCTCGAACGATGTTTGTGACTGTGTAATCCAAGATAGTGTTAATTAGCAAAGTGTACACCAAGAGTCTTTGTGCTCCGTAGATTGCAACCGGACTCGCATTAAAACATCCCGTTTTACCGTCACTGACTGTTCAAGTAACTTAGTGCAGGAACATCGAAAGATCCTGTTATAGGTATAATACTTGTCGGTCATCTATTAATTCTTTCAAAAGTATGAGTTTTGGAATGTTATAAGAGACAATGAGGCAAAACGGAACACAAAATCTAAAACACAAACTCGCAGGGCGAGTCCCGTCGCAATCGCAAGTGTACAGGAAAGATGATAGAGGGTACCAGAGCGAAATAGCTAGCATCTCTCAGTAGTCACATAGCAAGTCCAAGGTGCAAACATGAAACACTCAAAGCTCTCGGTGAACGGTACCGACTCGTGTCGTCACCGAACTTACCAAAATATAAGGAGGTCGGCTCGACAATTTTATGAAAGCGTTAAAATCGATTACAACGTTTATTGATAAATGCGATTGGAGTACGATTAAAATTAATATTCTGTTTTACTTAAAGCGGAACGTCACAAACTAAGAAAACGTGTAATGTAGGTACTCCTCACAAGTGATAAAATACTAGATTGGTGAATGTTTTTGCTCACGGACCAATCGACGTGCCGACCGTCCTCGCTTAGTATTTAAAATTTAAGGACCGAAGAGGATATGGAATCGGCGGGGAAGAAAAAAATGGGAATTATATTATATAGGAATAGGTAATTTTAGGTTTGATGGTGCCTCACCTGGTTTCCTATGATGGTTACGAGGCACGGGCGCTACGTTATCGCGTGGGGGAGGTGGCGGACCGCGAGCGCCAGGTCCTGGCATTGTCGGTGCCTGCACACCTCCTGCTACACCCCGTCCCCGCCCTGCATTACGCCCCCCTGGACCTGCCATCCCAACACCAGCCGAGCCAGCTACCCCTGTATTGAACACATATACCGCTGGATATTTCATGCAATAAACACCGATTTAACCTTCGGTGAAACAAAAGTGATCTAATAATGATGAGTTTTAAGTTGAGGTAGTCTTTATTATGCCTTTGAGTTGTTAGCATCGAAGAAAACTACTCAAAACAATTATGTACTATGTAATAATTTGTACTTCAAAAGATTACTTCAATTGCCAGCGTTGTTGAAAAGTGTCTCATACCTTGACTGCTTTGTCCAGCAGGTGGGTACTGATCGTTGGCTTCAGTAAGGAAGTTACTGGGCACCAGGCCGCGGACACCTTCAATTTCTGCCATATAGAATCCATCATCATCCATTTCTCCATAAACATGGATGATTTGACCGGTTTGGAAGCTCAGCTCCGCCTGGACATAACGACCCTGACATAATTTTCAGTAACTATTGGAAAAGTTTTTAAAAAGAAATATAGCCTAAGAATAAATATATTAGAAAGGGAGGAAAGTTGTATAAGAATTGAAATTAATTAGTTTGTCATAAAAGTAAAGAAGATTTTTTAGAAAATTCGTTGATAAGAAGCATTAAATGAGCTGATAATTTATATAGACTTAAGTTCAAGGCAAAAGAATTAATGAAAAAAGGAAGTTACAGCACAGAAATTAATTGAAAAGGAACAAAATTAAAAGATACCAGATTAATATATCTCGTCGCTCGTCCACAGCGGATCAAGCTTACCGGAGATCAAGTTCAGATTATCGGGAAGTCCCGAATCAGATGCTTCCAATTCATGCAAATATATTCTGTGTCTACCTGCTACAAATTCTCGACTTATGACAACTACACATCATTTGCTTTATGCTTGCATATGAGTTTATAGAAGACAAACTTTGAAGATGCTAAACAAATGAATTAATGATGGTATCTGTTTAAAATTACAGAAAATAAAGTCAGATACTTACATCTGCGTCGACATTTGGGCTTAGTTCCTGAGGGTCATAGTCGTACAGTGCGACCATTCTCCGAACAGGTTGGTTAGCATACGCATCTGCCCAGCGTTCTCGCTTTGCGGCCTGGCCTGCAGCCTCTTGCTCTGAAACTTCCATCACCATATTGTGAGGCACGTAACCTCGACGACCTCTGCACTCGCCCCAATAGAAGCCGTCGGCGTCTTTATCGCCCCATACCTAGGGATGATGGAGTTTTTATTACTTTTGTTCGTAGCATGTGGACAAGGCGAACTGAAAGACATCCCTTGATGTTATTGTCTCTGGATGTTAGAAAGGTATGAATATAATATACCTGGATTACGTAATGGTTCTATATTATTAGTCATAATAATCATTTGTCCTTGCTTTATTAGCCGACTCCAAAGTCTCAAAAGGAGAAGGTTCTCAATTCAGTTGTGTTTTTTTATGTCGCCCTCGGTCCTCGATATATCTACAAAGTTTGAACGAATTCTGACCGTTTAAACTCAGTCAAAATCACACCCAAAGGAGTCGGTTACAAACAAACATACAAGTGAAGCTAATATAAAGCGTGTAAAAAAAAATTGTTCCGAAATTATTTTCATAATTGTTACCTCAAAACTCTTTCATTTGTATTTTATCTATTGCTATTATAATGTTATCTGTTATATTGAGGGTCGCACTTGTTTTGGTTTTTTTCAACTAGATTTGTAGTTTTTTTTTATTGCTCTTTGTTTGAAGTTGGTTCAACTTTTGTTTAAAAGGATTTTTTTCTTCTTTCTGTATAGTGGTTCTTAAAAAGTAGGCTAAAGGGGTTGGATCTTTGAGGGTTTTCACATGGCAATAGAGATTTTAGAGATAATTAATTATTTAATCTTTTAACTCTAGCTGTTACTCATAACGCATAATAAAAAGAAATTAAACATTTTTGTTCCGGCTTCTTGAGGACTAACCCCCCCCCCCCTTCCCTTCCAGATCGATGCCTAACTAGGCCAAATCACATGCGGAGTGTTTCTGGAACCTAGATTAAATAAAATGTTGAACATTTACCTTGATGGTGTCACCTTCACTAAAAGGTAGTTCTTCGTCACAGCTTTCAGGGTTGGGGCTCATAGTGGTGGGGTCATAGTCGAACAAGGCGATGAAGTAGCGGCTTTTCTTAGATTGAGGATGCGGTTGTGAGTGTCTTCCACCCCCGGGAGGAGCCCGAGGGCCCTGTTGTTGGGCCCCGCGAGCGGTGTACTGCATGCTGCTGCCCTGCTGACCCTGTTGCTAATAAAATTATTTCTATTGTTTAATACGACATTGTTTTAAACAAATATAATGGTTTTTATTTTATGTAAACTGTCGCATGTTGTGTGGTGATATAAATACCTACATAATTATTTTGTACAAAATAAGAATACTCTTTAATGTGTTTTAGGTATTTTTACAAAAATATTACAAACTTTTACAAAAAGTGCTTGACAGTATAAGCTCGTTTATTAAACAATTTTCAGTCTCTAAATAATGCCTATCACCATAAAACAAGCAACGTCCTGCAGCGATCATCAATAACTCCTGAGCATATGGAAATAGAAATCAATATTTATCCAAGTGGTGACGGATTATGAATACACAGTGTCACCACCCCTATTCATCCCGTGGGTGTCGTAAGAGCCGACTAAGGGAGTAAACTATGCAGAACAACAGCACTGCAAAGAGAAGGAAACTTGAACGAAAGAATTGCCTTACACCGGTTTTCAAAGGACCGGTTACTAAGGAGAGGCCCATGTCCAGTAGTGGACTAGTAAAGGCTGTTGATGATGCTGATGATGATTTAACCGCACAGGAAACCCCTAATTATGGGTCAGCTATGCTTAGGCGCAAATGGGCCAGGCTCGACACTTGAGTTGCAGGCGTCCATGGCTGACGGTAGTCACTTACCATCAGATGACCCGTCTGTTTCTTTGCCCCTCTTTACCATCAAAAAAGAACCCGTGCTCGACGGAGTAGTAAAAAAGTAGATTAATGTTCTAGGTTTCTCAATAAGTAAGAAACTCAGTAAAGGGATAGGGAAGTACTTACTACTTGATGAGGGTTAGGAGGGCGGCCGCGCTCGTTGTGGTTTCTCGGCGGAGGATTCTGATAGTGCTGCTGCGCGCCGGGGTAGGGCGCTGGCGCGTTACTTGGGAACTGGCCGGCTGGTGGATATGGGGGTTGCTGCGTGCCATGGTAGGCTTGTGTACTCGGGTACGGCGGACCCGATTGCTGCTGCGACGCTGCCGCTGCTTGGGACGGTTGCTGCTGACGTCCGTACGAACCAACACATTAATAAGGTTAGATTTTCCATCACAAAGCCAACAGCAATCGATCAAGCTCATAGCCATTATCCTCATTGGCGTTGCGTTAAAGCGATATAAATATTACCTTCTTCTCGGATAATAAGAGAAAACAAGACATTCCGTTGTAGCTCTAGTCAACCCCCATGCACAACGAAAGCTAGCGTGCAGCGCTTACACTTCGAATCACATCATTCATAGCAGATAATATCATAAACAGACGATTCCAAATGTGCTTGTCGGAAGTACAACAAAACATAAATATACAACTTCAACTCGTTACATCTTTAACCGGAAAATAGTATCACTTAGCGACGTCTCCTCGTTTTACTCATCAGTACCTTATCTAGTATAGTATATAAGGCCATTGAATTGTGGGAGGTGTGTGAGAGGAGTGAGTGTACGGCATTGATACGCGTCGAAGCCAAGACAACATGCAGGAACAATCAAACAAACACGCGCGGTCATGCTCGAGTGTAGAATCTGTATCGAGTGCTCTGTAGGGCCTGGCGTCGCCTAGCTAACTGTCGCGCTTCGGCAAACCGGGTCACGTGACGTGACGTGCGTGTGTCAGGGTCGGAGTTGTAGGCCGCGGGTCAGTGTCGAGAGTGTGTACATCGAGGACTGTACAGTTAGTGAAGATGACAACACAGAAACACCGAGAAGTGGAAACTCGTGATCGGGAGGACGTATAGAATTGAGAGAAAGAGAGCAATAGTGAGTAGTGCTAGCACATGGAGAGCACATCGATGACAGCTAGGAGAGATCGCAGACCTGCGGGCGGCGGCGCGTCGCCTCCTCGTCCTCGCTACCCAGCTCCGCAGCGCCCTCTTTAGTGATTTCGATGGCCGGTATCCCCGATTGCTAATATACCACATGGTCATTCAATATTTTAGCATATTACACATTTGGTTTTACAGGAGACAAAAATAGTGAGATAATGGTCGTGCTGGCATGAGCGATGTTGATGACATATCGTGCACGCATATTCTCTTGAATGATATTGCTCCAAACATAGTGTCGGTGCCTTCTCTTGATGCTATTACATTTTTAAAGCAGTTAGAAGTACATAATAACATACGTATAGTTTATTAAGCGGATAAGTAGAAGCTGTTTTAAAGTGAGTTACAAAATACTTTAGAGTTTAATATAGGTAGGTATTGCTTTCAGGCATTGAGAGCAAGTGAAGCCTGCACAGGAAAGCTGAAGTGGAAAGTAGAAGTTCACTGCCGTGGAAGCGTTCGGCTTTTACTTTCGTTCAAGAGACTTTGCTCGAAAAATTAATCGCATATTACCTCCAAGTTCAGTCGACAATGTGTCAATGTTCATGAGTGATGTTTTATGTATGAGTGGTGAATAGACATGAAAACTGACATTAACGCAAATCCTCACAGAAACCACATCTATGTATAAGTTTTTGGTGGTTTCATTGAATCATACGAACCCTTGCTATTCAAACTAGATTATCAACTGTAAGATAACTATCGATGATCAGCTATATATAGCTAAAATAAGATTTTTCATAGACCTAATTTTCTTTAGAAAATATAGATAGATATGCACTTATCTAATTACATTTGTTTACTACAAATTTTTTTTTTCTACTTTCAGAAAAATATAAAAGCATACTCAAAGTAAATATTGTCTTCATATGCTGATTATATGGCTACAATATTATGTATTATGACACTATTTGTATATACGGGCACACTGTGTAATATTAAAACAAAATTAAACAATAAAAAATAAAAATATTTTACAAAACTAATAAAAATATATATAACACTCAAGAACTAAATAAAATTCATAGAACACTAAACGAAATCTTGTGTGAACTTCAGAATGAAATAAATAATAGTTATAAATATGAAAAGACGTGTTAAAATTCCTTACCGAAGGGGTTATTTTGTCGAATATACTCTTTAGAAGGCCTGTGCCGAATCCAGTCGTAGGCTATGGAAAGGTGTATAACAGTTATGTGAGAGAGCAAGGTTAGGTTATACTAAGTGGCATGATCACATCTCATGGGCGGTATTGTCTGTGTCACAAAGTACAAGCTCTTTATTTGTTCTAAGTTGTATCTGTTAGGTGTCGTGCGTTGTTGGGTATCGGCCAATAGCACTAGAGACTACAGATCTAGTCGCAAGCAGTATGCATTTAATTTTGAACGATCGAGCCGAGTGCATAGCTAGAGTCGATGGCGCGGTGGTCGTGTGATACCGTCGGCAGAGAACTAAATACTGGACATTTAGAAGATGCCAGCGACAGAACCACAGGAAATAGTATAAAGAGTGCAGTTTGCAACACCGATATTACGCTACAAATTGTCTGTTTATTTGTACATGTTGGTATATACTCGTATACTGCTGCTTAGATACATTTAGAATTACCCGCCTATATAGAGTTATATCAACAGACAGTTTGTTACGTAAGAAGAGAGCATAATGACACTGATTGTTATAATGATAGCTAAGAAGACACAGACGAAGAAAATTATCACAGATAAAAAAATATATAAAGCTTATATTAAATACTGAATCAACATCGTAAACAAATATACTGGCAAAATTAAACGTTGACGTTACACACAAAATGTACAACATTGATTCGCAAAACAAATATAAAATGTGCTATGCCGATCAACACTTATTCCAAAAATACACTTTTTAGTATTTAAATTCAACTTGGCAAAATTTTCAAAGTTTCAATGACAATAAAATAAATATCCATCTATAGTTTTGAAGGTAGATGATAACAATTCTCAAAGTTTCTATTTGTAAAAGCTTTGATTGGAACATCAATCCAAACATTTTATCCGTATCAGATATGTACCTTAAAATAATCTAAAGAGATCAATTTACAAATGATAAAAAGAAAAATTGGTCACCTGAGCAGCGTGCTGGTCGTGACGATTGACACTAGATGGAAAAATCTCCTTATCGGAAAGATTTTCATCATGTTCTATCACTTGTTGCTGCTGCTGATAGGGCTGGGGTCGTTGAATTCCTGGGCCTCTATACCCATGGGGACCTGATTGGTTGGGCCCCGGCATTGGACCGCGTGGCATCCGCGATGCGACCCCACGAAGCACAGCCGGAGGTATTGGCGTGGGTGCACTGTCACCAGACTGACTGTCTCGTGACTTGGTTCGTACCTGTAAAAACATTATAATATCGTAATTACACAACATCGACAGAGCCATAATGAAAAATCTATGACGAGACGTATCCACGTCTGAAATAAATTGTATTGCTAACATAACGTTAACACAGCCAAATTAAGCTCCATACAGCTATACTTACGGTGACACATTTAGGATTGAGGCCGATCAGTTTGCCAATGTCGATGAGAGCGTGGTCACCGGTTGGAGAATCCACGTCGGTCACCTTCTTGCCGTCAGCGTATACTGCATACCCAGTGACGGGGCCCGAGGCGGGTGGACGTAGAACTGGCTGCCAAGTCACCAGCAGAGTGCCATCCTGAGGTCCCGCTTCCACCTGCGACACCGCACCAATCACCACCAACAATCCAGCCTAACATTTGTGAGCAAGCCAATTGGGTTTCGACATTTTGATAATATATAGGCCAACGTCGAACAAAGCCACAATAAGGGAGGAGTTGACATCACAGATGAGGGTCGCTAAGCTAACAACGAGGTGAGCGTTGGGAATTTGTTAAATAATTTGCCTTGAGCTGGATTTATGGTTGCGATTGACGCGACTTCCTCGAGACGTGCTGTGTGCTTTGAGGTTGTGAATTATTTGAAAGGAATAGGGGTGTATCTGACGATCTCTGTGAGTAGTAGTATTGTATTATCACACATTTTGTGGAGCATTGGAAAGCTACCTTGTGCGTGCTAATAACGCTTTTAAAATTACTGATCAGAGAAGCATAATGCGTCATTATTATTATGATACATTATCATTTTCCACTAGCCACTGTGTGATTGTAATATTTGGAGTCCTGACTAAGTACATTTAATACATCAGCGAGCAAGGAATGTGAGTGTATAATGTTTGGATCCAAAAAGCATGCTCAATTCACGTCATGCTGATTGTTGGATTTTAAGTAGCACATACCATTATTTCGTTCGGTGGATCTGGCAATCCTTTTGGTAGCGTTCTAAAGTCTGTGTAAGCCCCAGGAGCTTCTTCAATTGTTATTCCTGATGGAGGACCAGCTCGTAAGTGCTTTGCCCTTACGGTTACCCGATATTGAGTACTGGGTGATAAGCCTGTGATTGTATGACGATATACTCCTGGTTTAACTGTACGAACCTGAAAATAACGGTTAATGACTCATCCATTTTTTATAAAATTAAAGCTATAATCTTCAAGAATAGCTTACTTCAACGTTATTCACACAGACGACATGCTGATGATTAGAATTGGCAGGTAGCCAGGAGATCACTGCTTGAGAACAAGTGACACCACTGGCTCTGACACAAGTTGGGCCCATATTAGCCGTATCCCTACCAATCACCATGGTGCAAGCTGCATCCCTCGAAGTACGGCGAGACGCTGTTACTGAACGCACGCTGATTCGATGTGGCTTTGGAAAGAGCAAGAATGAAATTCATAGTAATTAATTGAATTTATGCAAAGTATTTAATAGACAAATGTATATAAACTATAAAGCAAAAAAATACATTGACGGCCAACTAAATGAAATTTGTGCTCACTGACTTTATGTAGTACTGAAAAACTAAAATAACCATAAGAAGTTTCTAAATAGTATCTATAATTGGCTCACCCGGTTGGAGTCTACGCCTTCAACCAAAGCTCGTGTGCGTTCTGAAGCCTTGACCGTTGTCTTGAGGACGCCGTCAACGTATACATGGTAGCTCTCTATGTTGGCTTGCTGGACACCCTCTGGAGCCGTCCAGCCAATGAGCACCGACTTGTTGAGCTGTCTCTCCAGTGTCAGCTGCCGTGGCGCCGGTACTAACGACGAGAAAAACAGCTCGGCTGTTCAAGTCCGAGGGCAGATCGCGAGGAGTGTAGCCAGGCAGGCGAAGTGCGTGAGTTATGCGAAGAAGCGTGCAGCGAAGTCCAAAGGATTGGGAGAGGGAAGGATTTAAAGGTTCCACTATAGAACTATTTCTAGATAAATGATCGTGTACCATAACCGTCTCAGGTTGTTAGAACAGCATTTACTTTCTATTCGTTTGTGCAAAGCATCGTGATTTTAACTACTATGGTAGTTCAAAAGGAGTGCTTGATGCGTTTTGATTAGGCATGCGAATTTCAAAACTTCATTGATGACGTAAGATATTATAAGAAAATTATGTTTGCTAATCTAAGAAAAGGGTGTCTCAGTAAGAGTGCACTTTTTAAATTTAGAATCATTTTGGCAAGTGGCATTTTTTTTCGTACAATTCTGAAATTTAAGAGCTGTCACCTATGTTTATTCCGATTATTAAAAATGGAGCGCTTTTCGAAAGAACAACGCGTTATAATTGTGAAAACTCATTACAAAAATGGGGAAAGTTACGCTGAAACCGCTCGCAAAGTTTGCCAAATTTTCAGTCGCGAAAGTGCACCTAATGTGTCAATCATGCGAAGAGTGGTCAAAAAAGAAACTAGGTCGATTATGGATATTAAGAATCCTTTGCGTCAACGTAACGGTCTGTCTCTTGAAAACATTGCTGATGTAAACGAGAGTGTTGCTGAAAACGTCAATCGGCAGCGTTTTCAACAACTTCAAATTTCACGAAGCACTACGCAACGAATTTTGACAAAAGATCTCCACCTTTATACGCACAAAATTCAGATAACTCAGGAGCTTAAACCAGCAGACCGTGGAAAGCGCCGGCAATTCGTTCAATGGGTAATGGAGCAAAGTGAAGTCGATGCCAATTTTTCAAAAAAGTCATTTTCTCCGATAAAGCGCATTGTCATCTGAATGGCTACGTCAATACACAAAATGAACACCGAATTCGGGGCTCAGAAAATCCTCATGCATTCATGAGAAACAAATGTACCCACAACGAGCAACAGTCTGGCGCAGATTTTGGTCAGGCGGCGTGATTGGGCCTTACTTTTTTTAAGATGAGGCCTCAATTGCAGTGGCTGTGAATGGCATTGGTGACAGGAATATGATAACGGAGTTCTTGTGGTTCAGATGACATGTCGTTCAGATCAATGCCGTCTAGTAGAGACTAGACGGCATTGATCTGAACGACATGTGGTTTCCACACCGCGCATGAAACAATCGACTTCTTGCAGCAACGATTTCAAGAACACATTATCTCATGAAATTCTGATGTCAACTAGCCACCAACGCCGTGCGATTTTTTTTTTTTTGGGTTTTGTGAAATCTTGGGTTTATGCGAATAAACCAGAAACAATTCCTGAGCTCAAATCAGAGATCCAACGCGTCATCTGTGAGATCCAGCCACATCTCTGTGCAAAAGATATGGAAAATTTAATGAAAAATGGCTTGTCATCAGGGCCCTGTCAATGTCAATGGCCATTTGCCGGATTTTTTATTCCACACAACCAGAACATGTCTTTTTTACAATCCATTAAAAATATCACAACTCTTTTATAAAATACATGTTTTTATTTTAAAATGGAAAAGTGCACTCTTACTGAGACACCCTTAAGAAAGAATAATTAAGAATAATTTGAAATAAGTGAGAATAATTTTGTTGAAAAGGAAATGAGAAGGTCTTGTAATGGTTTTAACTGCCAAATACCTACGTTTAATTACTTTTATACTAATGCTTTTTCTATGAGATGTATAGGTGATATGTGATTGCTTACCATTATCATCGTCTTCAGGACCTTCACTAAGCTCTGCAACTTCACTGAGACGAGCGACATCTCTGCTCAGTGAGATTTCACTTACTGCTGTAGTAGCAGATTCATCAGCATCTCGTAAAGTTGCAACAACCGCCTAGCAAAAGAAGAAAAGTAAAATAATGCATAGACTCAAATAACTTTAAATATGCAATTTATATAGATGAGATGGAAAATCTGACATCAATATCTCAAACGTCTGAAATACCAAATGTTTTGGAACAAAATATTTACCTGATGGAACTCCAACAGGTCATCTCCAACCAATCGTTGGACGAAATTAGCAGGTACTAATCCTCTGCGTCCGTCTAATAATTCAGCGTCAAGCATAGAAGCATTAGCGTCGGGTGGACCCCACACTAATAAATAGTCACCGGCACAGATAGACAATTCTCCTTCCGCAGTCTCAACTCTAAAACATCATGGATATTATTAAAATGTCTTAAATTCCAAGGAACTTACTCAAAATATTTACTTACTCCGGCGGATCGTAAGAAAACCGTGCGATGTAAACACAACAGCGACCTTTTCCTGGAATGTCTAACATATCAACTTGACCTTCTGTTGGTGCACCACCGTTCATAAAATGTGAATTTCGACCTGAAACACCCATATTCTTAAAAACATGTACATGTGTACAAAAACAAGAACTTAATTTTATTTACCTTCTATATCCAATCCGGAATTAGGCATAATCCTCGATAGAGTTCTCTGGTTTCGATCATGACTGTAACTCGTGTCAACTAAGGCTCCTAGTCTATCAGTTCCAAATTGGCTATCTAATCCTAAATTCCACGAAGGTTGGTGTGGCGTTACTGGAGTCGCCACCCGTCCTACGCCAGCAGTCGTTGACGGATATCTACCGATACCGAGATCTATTTCATCTAGTGGTTTTAGTTTTATATTCATAGGATTTGCTCCCAGACCTCCTGAGAGCAGAGGATTTGTATATGTCCCTGTTCCCGTTCCATAACCACTTGTGCCTGTCAGACTAGTATTCATCCCTCCTAATTGTGTGCCACCAGTCAAATTGGAGAGGGCGTTACTCAGCCCGCTGGTTAGAGTCGATTGTATTCCTCCGAGAGTACTTGTAAATCCACAGCCTAAACTCGTCTGTGGATTATTTAAGCAAGCAGTAAGGGCAGTCCCTGCTATGGTTCCAGTCATACCCGGTCCACTAAGTCCACCGCTCAAATTCATACCTGGCACATTACCGGTTACCATGTTACTACCCATATTCTGTAGGTTACTTTGGAGTCCAGCTAAGGTATTAGATATTTGTCCCATGTTATTTACGAGTGGAGCCGTAACGGGGTTAGTAAATGTCACTTGATGAGTGTTTGGGAGCCCATACGAACTGGTAGTGTAAGCTGAGACGGGGTTAGCATATGACGTGGGATTGTGCGCACTCATGGAGTATGCCACGGAGTTAGAACTGGGTGCTGTGAACTGTCCGGTAGCATGTAGTGAGGACAGAGTCGGCATGGTGCTACTCTGGCAGATGGCCACGTGGCCTGCCGTGCTTGTGTATGAGTGCGGCAGCGGTGAGGGCGTCGGAGAATGAAATTCTCCCAAGGCTTGATTAGATCCGCTTGTTTGGATACCTGTGAAACCAGTGACGTCTGAGATATTCCTGTCCGGGTAATACCCGTGTCTGCTCCTGTTAGTTTGGATATTACCATGCGTTGTGGAGCGAGGATGCTCTAGTTCAGCTAGGATGCGGTTGTCCTGTTCGATCTTGGCCATGATGCGCTCTATTTCGGAGGCAGGCTGTGCGGCCTGTGTGGACCACGTGGTTCCTCCTCCAGATGCACCCCTTGCTCTCAGGGCCGATGACAGTTCCAGTTGAAGTTCTTCACAACGTACTGTTTCCAATGCAGCCTACAAAAGTAATGGTGAATCAAGGAAAAGTTTGGTGAACAACAAATTCTACACTTTACTTTTTTTAATTAATTGCAGAGCAAACAACTTAGCGCATGATATACTTAGACAATGACCATCATGTAGACATGTCAACATCTCTATTCTATAATAGTAATGTCGATGGAGATACCTTTTTTTCAAGCTCCCTGGCTCTAGATTGTAACTGCTCGACATTATGCGAATCGATGGGTGAACGCTGCGCCGAACGGAGATGCGCAAGCGCATCAGCATGAGCACGCTCGGCGTCAGCGCGCGCTCTCTCGGCGTCGCGCAGACGGCGCGACAGCGCGTCCGTGTCACACATGACGCCACCGCCGTACCCGCTCATATTCTATAACAAGTGAAACAATTGTTAATCCTTTACTTTCTTCTTAAATTGTGAAGCTAGATTACTACAATAGCAGATTAATGATGTAACTACGCCAAAGCTCGCAATCTAATTTAGGACAATGTTAATATGGGAAGGTGATTGAGTCTGCTGTACGAATTTCCAGATTTAAAAATGATTGGATGATTTTGTTTTATGGTTTTCTTTAAGACAGACATAAAACCTGCAGTTCACAAAAGTCTTACATGGGGTTCATATATCGGCAGAAACATTTTTTCCTGATATGTTGTTGATGACAGTTCTGGGTAGTAACTGATTCGTTTTATTTTATAAAACACAGAACATTGAATTTTATTAATTAAGAAATTACCAACTTTATTAATTTTTAAGAAAAACACGCTTGACCAGAAAAGGAAACTTTAAAGTTTTTTAAATAGTGATACAGTAAACTTGTTGCGAGCCATAAGCACATATAACTTTTTACATTTCTAATTTCTTTGTCAAGTTTCATACAAACTTTCAACCCTCTCTTTAACTCCTTAGAGGATGAATTTCCATAAATCTCTATTATTAAGACTGCACAGATAGCGTAGTGGTTTAAGCGGTAGCCACGCCTCTTCCTAATAAGTTGAGTGTTGTGGGTTCGATCCCCACATGGGACGACACTTTGTGTGGTCCACAAATTATCCTTCTGAGTCTGGGTATTCTTTCTGTCGTATGTGTAGGTGTATGAAAATGCGTGTTTCTTGACTGTTAAATTTGATTGATTTGACTAAACGAGTTTTTCCACACCAATCTTAGTTAAAATTCTATACAAAAATGTCAAAAAGTAGCGAATACACAAAGTAGGTATTGTACCAAATGGAATATTTTGAAGTCTAAATCTGCTTCTTATTCGAATGTTTGTGATGATGGGCTATTGCTATTTAGTTCAAACAGAGGACGTTTCACTACTGAAACCTCAAAGCAATAAAGAAAGGAGACGAATGAAGTTTAAAGGAATCCTGCCCAAAAGGAAAAGATTTTACCCAGAGAAAATGTGGTAGCACCCAAAACCTTGTTGATGCCATGTCTCGATTCGTATAGGCCATTCATAACGCCACCCTATACGTCCACAATAACACATCTTCACAGAAAACAGGTGAACCAGTTTTAAGCAATTACGTCGGTGCATAGGACTTAAAGTTAAAGTATCAAAGCATCGGCCCAGGTTTAAACTAACAACACCAAGAATGGTCTTGGTTATAATAGCCATATGGTCTCGTCTTAGCAACATTTTACATGAAAATGTTTTTGGTAAATACTTACGTATCTGAGACATATATAGGTAGGTATATATATATATATATATATATCTATATATATATATAAAAGTTTTATAGTCTACAAACAATTCTATCCGGTGGTGGTGACGGATTAAGAATACAGAGTGTCAGAGAAAGAAAAACAATAGATATTAAATCTATATATTAGTAGTTCGTGTCCAATAAAGTTGCTTCATATCCAAATAAGACATTGTAAAGCAAATTCTTGCTGCAGGTAAAATAAAAACAATGCAATTTTCACAAATGCTTTTTTAATCAATCATCCTATTGTACTCCACTGCTGAACATAGGCAGTTCCCGTTACGACGCCTACTATTCGTTCATTCGTTCATTCCTCGGTCGTATTGTTTTCTATAAACGTTCGCTTTAGGTATTCAATTGCTTTTTCAGAAGGTATTTACGTACGACGGTACGTACTGAAGGTCGAAGACTACAAACAGTGAAAAATATTCTGAGCTCACGACAAATCACTGTTAAAGTTTAAAGATATCTTTTTGTAACATTTCGGTTACAAAAAGCAGACAAAACAAAAAATCTTTACATCTACATATAATCAATAATTCTGTTTAAATATGTGCACTACTCTATAATCTCATTCATCTTAGGTAAGAGGTGTTGCCATAGTCAGACCGTTCCATTTTGAACAAAAATCTGTTGGAAAAGTATGATGTACATCAACATTTGCTTAAAATCTGGTCTGGTGGAGAGTGTGTGTGTTCAAACACGCAATAATCACTTCATCCTGTCTTCGTTAACAACGAAGCAGACAGAACTGTGACTTATAGATATAAAACAATACACCAGATCTATAGATACCTATGTATCTATCTAGCTACTAAAACATTTAAGTCACAAAATATTTAAAAACTAAACCGACAATTACAAGGACTATAAATCAAACAATAATAATTCGAATTTATTCAATACCTATTCGATGTTTCTATACAGCCGTGTATCGATTATTTCAAACCGTATTTCAAACAGTTGTTACTAGGCTGACTGGTTCGTTGGTATACTATACAAGTTATAATAATAATAGATTTTATAATACCTTCAATACAACTGGCTGTAAAAGCAATCGATTTGCATGTATTAAGCTGTTTTATCATGAATATTTTTTAGATGGGTACCCACGCACAAAGTCTCACCTCATCTGTCTCTAGCGGCATACTGCTTCTGTCTGTCATTATCTATAACAGACGATATTTGATGAATGTAAGTAATTTTTTTATCGGTATCTATAAACATAGCTAACAACACCAGTAGGATCAGTCAAAGTTCCTCTAACTCTGTTCAAGTTCACACAGTGGGATCTCTGAATTGACATTATTTTCCTGAACAGCTTTAATTTAAATTGACAAAATTAAAAATTGGAGTCTTTTGAATTTATTTTAATCATTGAATGGCAAAGGCAAGAAGGCAATGATAACTCTAATAAATCCTGAAGACTTAGGGATACAAAGTATTGTCGTTTTGTGTTTTTTTCTCTGGTATAACATAATCTCTATGGTTGTAAAATAGTCATACTGCCTCCTATAACCAATTTTAAATCGGATTTATACAACGAAAATAGCCAGTGAGATAGCTAAGTAATTATTGTAAAACATCCTTGGAAAAGTCCCACTCCATATGATATTTGCGAATATTCGAACACATTTCATAGAAACTTATTTCCAACACCGACTATTATGCTTTAATCGGATCTTTTTTTTTAATTTACGTTTTTAATTTTAATTTTTACATAAATATAATTCTTATTAATATTCAGGGGCTTGCGGCGAATTAGTATAAATTAGTATATTGTAACCAAACATACTTTTAGAGCATGTTTGGTAAGGAGCCAAACTATGCCTGACAAATGTCGCATACGAGTACTATGAATTCAAAGGCGGCGAGTATACTAGGACTAACCCTTAGTACAAGTGCATTACTTGGTTGTTTTTTTTTTGTTAATTACTAACTTTGCCAATGAGCACTCGGCTGTCTAATCGGTAACAGTGAAATGTGCTATGTCATACCGTGCCGATAGAGGTCTGATTACCCACACAGTAATAGGTACACAACATCAGCGCTGCCTTTTGTAGACTGGTAAAGCATGTCGGTTGTTTAGAAGCTTAAAATACTAGGCCAGGCGTCGTCTTCTTTAGGTATGAAGACACAAGAAAATAATATCTTGTAACTGTCCGAGCAAGAATCGCTAATTATTTAAATGATTTGACGGAGTTGGTCTTCTGTATTAGTAATGCCAGTACCCCGCTAAATGACGCATTGAATAAATGATTTTGTTGTGTTGGCATATCTTATCTCGTGCAAACATCGCTCTATATTGATTCGGAGCAATATTTTGAATACACAATATACATAATTGTTGAAGCTTCTGAAAACTTCAGTATTTACGCGTGGATACACGGTGTGCGCCAGCCCTAAGGCTATAGATTCAGTCGCCGCCGCCCAGTCTCGCCCCATAAGACGGTAAAGTGCGCTGACCTGATTCGTACCCCTACCCGTTACACCCCCTCTTTCGTCCCCGTTCGCTCCAGAGCCGTCGCAGACTCCTTGGCAGCAAAATTGGGCGCATTGGTCTCACGTAGAAAATTGCAGATTCTACAAATGTCTGTCCTTGTGGTTTTTATTGTGAATTCAGCAATTGTTTCAATAATGAATGGATTAATTACATCATAAGATAAAATTATGGGACCTGCTAGAAGGCAAGTTGTGTAGAGATGATGACATTATAATTTACTTTATCAATAGAAAATGTAAACGTTTTCTTCGCGTGATGGTTCTGGATGACAATATCGCATCGTACGTACGAAAACGAAACAAAAATTTGATACTCCAACAGCAAACTGCAAAGTCCATAATTATGATACCTACTTATAAAATATATATTTGCACACCGTATGGTTTGCTGTAATGAATTTATAAATTATGTCTATATAATTATAATTGGAGAATGTAAATAAATAATGTTATAATTACTAGAACCAGCCTTATTCTTTTATAATTTTTTAGATTGTAATACTTTAATTTAATAATTTGTATGATTTCAGCGTCAGAACAGATAGGATATTTGTATCATTGCACACTTTAGTTTTTTTAAGGTAAATGTTCATTTGTAATTTAAAGTTGTTGTTATTATTTAGTGTATCAACAGCAGTATCGACATTCAGTTCATCAAATATGTCTGTCCAACCTATAGCAGCAATCTTTAAAACCATTTAAATCAGCAATAAAGTGATCCGAATTATAAATGACGTACCTTATACGTACGTGCCAACAAATTAATTTTAAATTTAAATGTGATGGAAGTTATTAAGAAATGACGTTAAAACTTAATTACAAATAACTAGCCGTTTCTTGAATATTAAATGACAAACAAATTTCAAAATTCAGACTCAGCTTATATCCCCGGATTTCTTATCAGCCAATGAAAAATTTGTACTTAACATTTAACTTTATTTCGTCTCTTTCTCACATCTTACGTACTGACTGGCATCCGGATTTGCAAATTAGTGTGCTTGAGCCTACTAATTTTATAAGACTTTACGAGGACATCTATGAAATGACACAATGCATTTTAGGTACTTGTGATATTTAGGATTTACTCATAAACCTGGACTTTATGGGTATGACATGATAATATTCTATTGACTTTGTTAAAAGTGCTGCTTTAGTCTTATAGTACGGTACGCGACAAATTTTAAAGGATTTTCTGAGAAGGAAAATAGCCTAAGTTACTCCTTTTACACATTATATACATAGACAGCTACCTGGTAGTAAAATATGATCAAAATCGGTAAAGCCATTTTGAAAATTACCCGGAGCAGACATACAGACAGACAAGAAATATTTAAATTGGATTTTAGGCATAGGTATTTTGCAAATAACCGTGTGAGCCTGAAAAAACTATTATTTGACATTACAAATAGACACTTCAATTTTATTTATTAGTATAGATTTATTCATTATCCATGTTGAATCTCGATCATACTGACTATTATTAAAATAAGTATCTTGATCTTAAACGACTATAATATGTAAGCCATAACCCATAGGACTAATGAAATATCGCTGCCTGAGAATCTCACATAACTCACTAACAGTGCTTAGTTAATGTTAAGTGGTTGATAAAAGGGTTACATAATATTTTATAGACTGTTGTATACTAGTGTTTAAAAAAATCACAAATTTAATATTTATCCATACAATTGAATTTATAAGTTAAACAGAAACCAGTAGTTATGGAGTCGAACCTCACTAGGTACATTACTGATGCAAAGAATTAAGGTAGTCAAAACGATTAAAATTCGATATTAAAGTAGAAATGAAAGTCTAAATTCTAAATAGAATTTAAACCTGTTTAAATAAGTAACAGTTACTTACAGAGCCATAGTAACTGACTTGAATTGAGTCAATGTATCAAAATGTTTTGATCGTACCGAATAATGTTTATTCTCACGGCTACCCTCACCAACGACCTTCGGGGACATCAAACGATTCTTCCACAAGACTGAGCGATGAATCATAGATACTATGTAATATAAAGTTCCCCGGGTCGCCTTCTGAATACATTGTTTCAGTTCGCGGTGGTTCTGCTAGCTATAGTTCGGATGGATCTCGTCTCACCAGTGTTCTATGATATTTATCATACATAAATAGTAATCACTATAAAGAAACTCAAATTTATATATAGGATAGGATACATAGCGCATTAAGATAAATATAACCTATTGAAACTAATAAAACAGAGTGAAATTCAAGGAAAAATAACTTGCCCTCTACAAACCAACTTTTTAGATCTGCAGTATCACAAACTTGAACAGCCTTTGATTGCCAACCTTTGGAACGAAGATTTCACTTGAAGAAAATATTTATTATGAGAAGTGGATTTTGTTATTAAAAAACAGAATATGATTGACCCGCATATCAAATCATCTTCGCTTTACTGAATGTCAAACGTTTTTACTTAACTTAAGGTGAACCTGTCTGAAATAACAACTTGCAATGTCCTATTTAGCTACCAGCAATTTTAATTTTACTGGCTTTATTTTAATCAGAACCTTGAAAATAATAACAACTTTTCAAAATCTTAAGTATTTCGTAATTTATTTATTTGTTCTTACTTATTTATACCAACCGGTCTGGCCAGCGTGGCATAGTAGGCCAAAACCTCCTTTCTAAGGAGATGTCTATGTCCAGCAGTGGATTATTAAAGGCTGTTAATGTGTGATATGTTATATTCCTATTTGCTTAATATTTTAGTTTTATTACTTTCACGTTATTACAGATTAAAGTAATGTCGGTTTGAATGGGAAAAGAAAACATTCAAAACGCAATGGATGAATTCTAGTCGAAATACGACCAAAAGGCGTCTTTAGTAAACAACATATACATGTAAAGGTACAGGACGGTCTTAAACAGAAGCAGACTTTTGACTGCAATATAATGTTGTTTTGGCAACATTTTAAAGTAAATCGGCAGAACACGCAGTAGTCATAACTTGATATTATCACAAGAATTTCGCTGAGCAATAGGATCCTGGTGCCAAGTAATGAATACCGATAAAAATGTTTTTTTTTTTTAAGTGTAGTGTATTAAACAAGATTACTTTATGTTAAAATCATGATAAGCTATTTAGTTTAATTCTGAACCACATTGCAAGAACAAGAAAAGGATTAAAATTACAGCTTCAAACAATAAACATAATAATAATAATTTGGACATCTAACACACAACGCCATCTAGTTTCTTGTACTATGAAAAATAGATCGACTGGGATAATACTTATATACTTCTTTTTTGTAAATACATACATACCTATTATACATAGAAAACACTCAAACTCCGACACAAATATTTGCAGATCATACAAACATTATGTCCGACCCGGGAGTCGAACCCAAACCTCAGTACAGCAGTCGCGTACGCTACCACTGCACCTCTGCTCTCTCTGAGGCAGTCATAACATATTAAGAATTACAACACCTGGCCTTCAAATCTATACTTAAATGCAAAGGTAGCACAGAGAAGTACAATCAATATTAAATTGATTTAAAACAGCTAAAAAAGAGCACAGATGAAATTCATCTATAGATTACATACATACATAACCCCGCCTAATTTATTTCCGAAGAGGCAGACAGTAAATGCCCACATTTTGCCGACTACAACTTTTAGTCCCACT